CTCTGTTTATAAAAATGAATATCTTGCCCTATGATAGGACGCATGAATATAAATCACCACATGTTTTCAATATCGTTAAAAACAACTTACCATGTCATATTTCCTTATTTTGCACATCCTCTATTGTGACTAGAAATCAAGCATCAGGAAATTTTATGCTTTCACCAACCAGGAATACTTGCGGGCAACGCTTCCTGAAGTTTTCAGGACCAAAAGCTTGGAATAAACTACTAGAAGAAATAAAACAAACATAACTTTTTATCAGTGCTTAAAAAAATACTTAGTCTGAACAACGTTGTTTCAGAGTGAACAATCATGAAGTCATTTCTTGCTTGCCAGGAGTAGTTTGCAGAAACCCACTCTACGGGCTCTGGGAAGAACGCTGTTCCAGCTTCCGCTGGGACCAGCTGGGACTGCGCTGCGTGTTCTGTGCAGGCCTAGCAATATTTTCCCAGATTCCAAATTTCCAGTTAGATCTTAGTAGCTGCATTATAAAAAAAATATACACATTTTATAAGAACTTATTTCTTACGGTGTTTTTCATCAACTTGGCTTTGTCAAACACACACAAAAAATTAGCCTCGTATCTGCACATTAATCTGTAAATGTCACCGAAAGACAATAGTCCTGCGTGTGGAGAGAGTGAACAATACATTTATTTGATGTTCTGTGCAAGAAAGTCGGTGGATGGTATTCTGGAGGCGCTGTGTTAGAGTGCCTGGAGCGTGCAGCGAGGCGAACGAACGCATCAAGTCACGTCACATGTGAGACATGAGCGCCATCTGGCAGTTCTCTTGGAAAACGAAGAGCGTGGCTCTGAGATGGGTGTGAGCGCCAGTCTCAGAGGTGATAAGGGGTAAAACGCAAGGCGACGGGTAGGTGCCACCACCATCTTGTCTTAGCAAAGCGTTGGAAATACTCACCTTTTCATGCAAGCGTTGCATGGTCAGCTCAGGGTAATAAGCGCTACGGTCCTTAAAATTACTTATGTATGCCTTTTCTAGTAAAAGACGCACATGCAGAATATATACATGTTGTTATAGTGTACCAGACATGCGCAATAATTGTTTTTTAATTGACAATTGCACAAGTATGAAAGGTGAACTTTGAGCAACATTGGTGGGCACTGCGGATGGGGTCGACCGTTTCAAGTACCTGGAGCCGTTAAGAGTGGACAAACAGACAAATGTACAGACAGACAAACAGACAGACAGACAGACCAAGCTTTTTGCGTCGAAGGTCCCCAAGAAAGACTATCGTCTTTACAAATATGTGGAAATACTGCCAGAGAGCAACAAACTTTGAAACCAATGTAAATAGATGCATATATGAGTGAAATTTTTTTTGCTGGATACTATTACTGAACACCGAAAATTATAATTTGGAGAACAACAAATTAAGAAAATAGATAGCATCACAAGCTAGACCAGCTGTCTGGAAATATTGCCACATACCTAGTTTTTGTATTTCATAAATCGAAACTGCCCAAAATCCCCAATATAAATACACTCGAAATATATGTTAGAAATCGTATAGTTTTTCCGCTAATGCAGGTGTTAAAAGTCTATAGAGAATTCGAAGCTGTAGAAAAATCTGCATAAGGCTATTAAATTTTATGCCATTCACCAAACTAAATTAAAAAAAAAACATCCTTTAAAACACCCACATCCTTCATTCACTCTTTAAAAAGTAAAGTTCAGTCTTTGGTGCATACATGGCGTTGCTCATTGAATACCTCCAGTGATAGATTTACTATGGTGTTCTGAAAAGTTGTTTATAAAGTTAATAGGAATTAGCTTGCATGGTAAAGAAAAAGCTACAATATCGCAAACACGAACTAAATATATTATTGTGATACTGTAACGGAAATATCAATCCCTCACTGTGATAAACATACATGTGGGATATGGTGTGGACCAGCCGCAGAAAGAACTCCATTCCATCGAGATAGTTAAAAGAGGCTTTTATTAACTCTGACTGAGGCCATTAAGACCCTGATACTACTCTGATGACCCCATTTCTCCTCTCGTGCTTCATCGTACTTATTCTTTTTCGTCTGGTTGTTCGCCAGTGCTCGCGATAAAATTAACATGCATATCAGCATTATATCTTTCAGCTTTTTGATAGTTTCCTTTTTTTGCATGTACGATTTACTTGTTACCGATAAAAAAACATATGCGTTTTACTGCAACAATCTTAGTGTTTGAGTGTCTGAAGTTACTCGGATGAAAATTCAATATCTGGATATGTATAATATATTGTGAAACAATAAATAGATTATTCCAGTTGTAGTTGACCTTACCAATTAATTGTTTCACAATGTTATATACAATATCCCGAAATCGATATATATATATATATATATATATATATATATATATATATATATATATATATATATATCGATTAAATTTACAGATGTGCCATGAGAGCAATGAGCAAATATATATAGATGAGAAAAGTATAGTAATGTTCAAAGATTAATTTACATCGCAATGGATGGGAGCCCTATAGCTAAATTTGTAAGTGAGCACATGTATTTACGCACATAGGAACAGACAAAACTTCAGCAATTTTGACAGTTCTTGGTATGCCTGTGCATGGAGTAATCAGCTCAATACTTTGTGGTGAAACTTAATTTGACCTGCAGTTGATAGCGTGCAGGTACAGCCGTAGTCACGGGCGGTGAGGTTAATGTTTCCCTAACTCTTCCTACTTTTCCGAAAAATTTCACTTGCATGTGCATGTATTTAGGCACACACACAAACGCGCGCACGAACTTACATATAACTCCTAAAGACTGAACTGAATGTTCAAAAACTGAATGTTCAAAGACTGAATGTTCCCCACCCTATCCCCGAAAAAAATTCTACGCTACTGCGCGTGCATGTGAAACATGTCTGCAGCATGAATGGAGGAAGGAAACAACTTTTCGAGTCAGTTTATAAGAGAAAATAGCGGACTCGGACACACACACACACACACATGTTTACATGCACTCGAGTTACGGTATGCTAGACTCACCATGTGAGTGTCAAGTCAAGTCACGTTGTCAGCATGCCATAAAAGCGATCAATAAACCAAGTAACCTCTTTGAATATTAACCGCCTTGCTTGCACTTTCCATAGTCCCCGACAGAAGGCGACACAAAACCATAATGTCATGACGATTGTCAGCGCGAGAGCATATGAAACGTTTGATGAAGATGCTGATGAATCCGCAGCCATATATAGTTACCCACTCAGGGGGATCGGCCATTATTATGAAACTGTGGGATTGGCCAAGAGTCAATTACTTAATTCAATGAAACCTTTTCTATATTCAATATCTTCTGTTGTCCCTTCGTCGTCGTTCTGCTCTCGCGCTGTAACAATCGTCATGACCAACTAGCCAAACGGCCCAAACCGCCACGCTTCCATAATTTCAATTTCGCTGTTTTGCTGCACGACTCTGCGGGATCAGTGGTCCGGAGCCACCGGCCCAAGACGGTAATACATTATTTTGCTATGGGACGCTTTTACATGCATTAACATCATGTGTAATGTAGCGCATTCCTTTACATAATAGACTTTATAAGTGCAACACTGCGGGAGAACCTAAAAGGTAACAAAATTGATATTAGTCCGAAATGTGACATAAACTAAGAAGAATATTATCTGTAAACAGAAAGGCATGCTTAACAATTTAAAAGTTGGTGAACTGCCGTCTAACTGCGACACGTAAGGAAACAATTTTCGGACAAGTGCGGTCGAAGACAAACAAGACTAAACAGGTGAAGCGAAGGTCGATAACCTTTACCTCAACACGGATTTCACCGTTCAACAGTTGTGAGCAAATGCAGCAACTAAATTATGTGTCTCTTTCGGCACATAGAAATGTTCAAAAAGCGTGTAACGATCGAAAGCCGCACGTGCGTGTGGCAAGCAGACGACACTCAGTGCCACTTGACTGTCCGTTCGATCCACCTGCACCAGTCGGAACCGGTTCACGGCTGCGCACGCGAAGTTCAGAAGCGTGAGTTGAGCGGTGCAGGCACAGCACGACACCCGAAACGAATGACGATGTGCCGACTAGGCGCAGGCCTTATTTCTGTTCACTTAATTCACACCATTCAGCTAACACTGAGCGATGGCGAATCGCACATGCGGACAGTTTATGAGGTGCAAACATCTTGGCAAAACATACCGCGTTAGTAGAGGCGGGTACGGCGCCTACGCCAAAGTGCTGCGTCGTCTGCTCAGCTGCACGCGTGGCTGCACCAAGCCCGCACCGTCAGCGTAGAAGGTGCAGGAAATTCATGAACCAGTGCTGCACCTTTTGAATCGAATGGCAGAGTTCAGAGGTCGTCAATTCTGCACCGCTGAAACGAATGGTGCAGCACCTTGTGAACTGGTTCACGTGGTGCAGGTGAATCGAACGGACCTATTACCAGTTCACGGTGCAAGACTTTTTAACCTTTACGCTTTCAAATGCATGCTTTATGACATGCTTTTCAGAGTAACTTAAAGGTTATAAAAATACATTTGTGGTCATTTGTTGAAACTTTGCGTTGCTAGTGTGATGCAAAGAACGGCTCGTTTTTAAACGTAGCAGATCTTGAAGGCTTAACTTTCAAAACTTAAAAAAAAAACATTTGCAAAAACATATTGTACATGTTATTAACAAAACGTTCCTGCATTTATCATTTATTAGTTCATTTTATTCTGCAAATAGAAATGAACACAAAGTACTTCAGAAAAAAAGTGTCTGTCGCTGAGACCATTCTCATTACACAGAACGTTGTGCTTTCAAATTTTGATTTATAGATGTATCGTTGTTTTTAAGACGAATAGAGTTTCATACAATAAAACTTTATGTTAAGACATGCTTGTGATGCTTTTAGGCGTGTTTTTTTATGCTTGTGACGTCAACAATAACATGTTTTCTCACAGAAGAGAACGCACTGATGACGTCAAAATTGTGCGTAGATCGCGCATTGCATCACGGGATCAGATGTTCAGCGAGAAAGGCCAAAATGGCGGCACTGGTAGAGGGGAGCCAATATGGTCTGTCTTCACAGGGGAATTACTCGAAAAATAAAACGCTTATATTTGTGAAACTCACAGATTCGGCGCTGAGATCCATTGAGGAATATTTAAAGTACAAGGTCAGTATGTCTATTTTTGTTTCTAGCTCTCTTTGCTTCCCCGATGTAGTTGTGGACGTTGAAACAGCTGTTGTTGGAGCAGATTACTCGACTTGCCAAGCAAGGTTGCGATGTTTTTTGTGGTAATTTATCGTTTCAACTGCTTCGCGTGTGCTACTGAAACAGCAGTGTTTTTGTTTAGTGTCGCAATATGTTTCGCGTGTCGGCGCCGTGTGATGTTGGCCGCTTGTCTCCTTTTCAGTCGAGCTCTTGTCTCGCCTTACGCCACCTAAAAATATCCGTTAAAAAACTTGTCCTTTCAGCGTGTCGTTCGTGTCGGTCTAATCTTTGCTTACGGCAATCGCTACATCGGTCTAGCCTTCGTTTCGTTGCGGTAAATTGGTTTGACAAGAGGTCGTTTTTCTTTTTTTTAGCTTCGCCGACTTTACTCGAGTGGCTGTGTGAACACCGTGAGCGATGCCGTCCACGTATTGAGTTTTCTACTTGTTGCGCTGCGAGTTGTTTTTCAACGACTTTGTCCCGATGTTTGACCATTCGACCGCTTTGCTCTGGGTTGTGGCGCAATTGTCGCGACGAGCTGCTTTAACGCGAACCAGCCGTAACCTCCTTTTCGGGAATCGAAGCCAGAGCGGCGGCTGCCTTTACGCATTGGGACATTTTTGTTATTGTCGGCGCGTCGAGACAGCAAGCTCTCCGTTCTTTCATTTCTATTATTTTTTTCTACCCCCCCCCCCCCCGCCTTGCGATAACTATCTCCTCTTTCGTGGCACGATCTGAACCGCGGCAGCATATGCAATTCGGCTGATAGGCTCGATAAGATTGCCTCACGTGAGAAAAAAAAACCGTCGTCAACACGTCTGCGTTCTGCCGCCGTTACCCATGCATGTCATTTATTTGCAGCGGTGTTGTTCTGCGTGCCATGTCAACTGTCTATGCTGTGTCGTGCCCGTCTTTGATATCTTCCGTCGCGAACGCCAAGTGTCTGGTTTCGAGAGCGAAGCTTGGGCATTGCCTTGTGAAGTGACGTTGAGCGTTTCCACAATCGCCGCTTTTGTAAAATCTTTACTAATCACTTTCCCACTCTTCCCTTTTTATTCTACTACAGGGCGGGTGCACGCAGAAGCCCTCGATACAGTTTGAAGGGAACCAAGGGGTGAGTGGAAAACGTTGTGTTTGTCAAAACTTCTGCGAAGGCGCCTGGCATCATCGATGCATAATAAACGCTGTGCTTCCCCGCTCGCTTTGACGAGGGGTGCCGGTGACGGGACACCGTAAACAAGGTTCTTTCGGACGTTCTGCTGCTTGTATGTAGTGCAGTCTCTCTGGGAAGTGACCACAGAGGGGGTGCTCGGGTAATGGCACGGGGATAAGGAGTGGATAAGCTAACTGTGAAGAGGGGGGGACGAGAGAGAGCTACTGCCTGAGAGTTTTGCTAGCTCTTTGCATTGCAAGAGTTCATTTGACGCTGGGCAGTTTTGGATTTTCGCTGCCGCCGCTGCTGCCTACGGCCTTGACAAGGGACAGGTTTCGTTCAAGGACGCTGCTGCGCTTTTCCAGGCGCTGAGCGCAGCGGGCTAAGGAGCAGCAGTGGCCCCATCAGCTTCTTGAGAGCGGCCACGCTCGATCGTTTTTTTCTGCTCTTCTTTTTTTTTTAAAGCACTGGAAGGGGGTGTCTTGGTAGGCAGGCGAGGGCCACTAAACGGTTATCATCAACACACCGGCGTCCCCCTCTCGTGCGTCGTCGTGGACGACGACCAAGGACCACGGCGCATGTCGACGTCCGCGCTCGATGAAAAGGCGCAGTGCCGTCGGACGGGCGCGCGTTCAGCGCACCCGGCTGGTGCACGCGTCTGTGCGTGTGTACGAAATGGGGCCAAATTCCTAACCTACTTGGGCGAGCGCGCGGTGCGCGAGACGGCGGCGTCGTCTTCCTTGTTGCAGTCGCCCAGCAACAGGAGCAGACCTGCTTGTATGCACCCCCTCCCTTTTCATAATTCTCTCCCCCTTCTGTGCCGCCCCCAACACCCTACAACACACCCTCAGCAGCGCGCTTTCATTTTATACTGGAGTCGTTTTCGTTGAGTCACTGCAGAACTGTGTGGGCCTTGCCTTGTGCAAGAACAACCACAACAAAGCTTTATTTTTGAGGGAAGGGGTAGAAAAGGGAGTCCTCGGAACCATGTTGGTGGGGGCCCCAAGTCCAGGGCCCTGGTGGCTCACTCCGCTCGCCTAACTTGACTCGGCAGCGCTTATTGCACCTCTGGGTGCGAGCTGACAAGTCATACTGCTCAAAAGTTCCCTGTGATGGTGCTGCCTAAAAAGTAGTTTTTTTTTTCTGTGGTGTTTGAAGTTCTCTGGCTTTTTGGTCACACTTCCAAGAGATGTGATACGAGTTGCCAAACCGTAGCATCACAGACAAGCGTCATGATGCAACGTAGGATGTATTTTGCTGAGCTGCAATAAATTTGAAAAGACTCCCGTCTACACCTTGTGGAGATCCGTAGCATCTTTCCCTTCAAGCGATTTATGGGGGGCACTATACTTTTGTTGTGTGCTCCGCTGATAAGCGAGAATGGCTCGTGGGGCCATTAAATGGGATTCGATTGGGGGAGGCCGGCGCTCTGCTCATCAAATCTCGAGCTAAAGCGTCTGCCCTCTCATAACCTTCCAGGACAACGTGTGCGGGGCACCAATTAGCCGGTGTCTCTTGGTTAAGATAGGCCCGGTGAACTTAAACATTCTTGCAGGGAAGCGTTCGTTCATAAAAGTCTGCACGCTTCTGCGAAGTCGGAGATTGATTGTTCTTCCGCTCTATGTTCATGCCTGCTAATGGCCAAAGCTATGGCAAAAGACTCCGCCTTGGCAATTGAGGAAGTGCATAGAGAGAGACTCGTGGCTGTCTTCAAATACTAGTCAACTGCTGTTGCTACGCATTTCGCCCAGTTGTGTCTGGCCGCGTCAGCGTATATGACGTTTGTCTTTGCTGTAAATTGTTTCTTAAGCTACTTGAGTCCTTCCTCTTTCCTTGTGTTTTCCTCTCTAGTCATGTTTTCTGGCAAAGGTGCAACCAAAATCATGCGACGCCGATCGGTTTCTTGTCTCAGTGTGCACAATTTGTACGCCAAGTTAAAGGCGGCAGTTGTCACCTCCTAAAGAAACCGTCTCAGCAAAACACGGTCTGGCAAAAAGATCCTGACACGGCTAGATACACCGCCATACCCCCATTACTTAGGCGAAGAACCTTGTGCGAAAACCGTCAGTGCAAGAGATGTGGTTGTTGTTTTATTGAGTACAGTGTACTCTATTTTCTGTCTCTTTTTAAAGTGATGAGAGCGGTGTTCATTCAATTTCGTCGTTTTGTTCACTGCAGAACTTTCTGAAACTTGGCATCTTAGGAAAGCCAGTTTGTTGTTTTTCGTATTTGCTTCCTTGGGCAGTACCTGAAAATACTACCGTCACATCCCTTATCTGGGCCTTAATGACGACACTGATGACGACCCAAGAGTCCCAAATACAATCAAGAACTTGGTACATTGTTGTGTCAAGTTGTCTTCCCAGAGGCATCAAGCAACCAATAAGAAAACTCATCCTACATTGTCGAATTTTCCGTGAAGGTTTAGGATCATGTTGTCTTCAAGGGCACCATATGCACTAAAATGTTTCGTTGGAGTGACAGTGATTCAGCTGTGCTGCTCAGTTAAGCTGCTCCAGCCAGTCTTGCTGCTCCAACCACTTATGCTACTCTAGTATCTTCGTGTATGTCACCATGAAATTTATAAAAAAAATCTAAAGGTTCTTAACTGTCACCCATACTGATGCTTGAAAGTGCCATTTATCGGGCAGGGATGGCTATTGACAAAAGTAGTCTTCATGAGAGACCAGATCTTGGGCTCCAACCTTGCAGATGACAGCTTGTTTGGTGCACAGGCTTTTCTACAAGTAGGTGTCTTGTGGCACATAATGCAAAGTTGCATGAAGGATTATCGATAATGAGGCAATGGTACCGAACACGTCCACCGATGTTGCAGTTCCCAAGGAACTGGGCTTTATTGAGAAAAGTAGAAACGTAGGGTCGGTACTTGGAAGATGACATGCAAGATTCAGGCTAGCAAAAATGCCTTCCTCTCTTGGTTGTGCTGGCTCTGTCAAGCAGCCCCATCATTATCATTTTCATCGTCACTATGCAGTTGGCCACAGATACAGACAGAGCAGTATTTGTCATATCTTTGTATAGTAACTTGCCTTTCTCTTAGTGTAAAGAACTGTTGACAGTAATTTGGGCCATACGTCACCTGTTGACAGTAGGGTCCTACCCAGCTGAATTTTGCAGCAGTTGCTCATAGGTCATTCATAGCTTTTGCAGTGGCTGCTAATTAGTGATTGATAATAAGGTCGATAAGGAAACAGTAAGCTTTGATAGATAGATATGTGGGGTTTAACGTCGCAAAACCACTCTATGATTATGAGAGACGCCGTAGTGGAGGGCTCCGGAAATTTCGACCACCTGGGGTTCTTTAACGTGCACCCAAATCTGAGCACACGGGCCTACAACATTTCCGCCTCCATCGGAAATGCAGCCGCCGCAGCCGGGATTCGAACCTGCGCCCTGCGGGTCAGCAGCCGAGTACCTTAGCCACTAGACCACCGCGGCGGGGCGAAACAGTAAGCTTCAGCTATCAGTGAACGTATTGGCACTTCGGAAAGTTGAACGCTCCAGTGAGCTACAACACAGATGACAACAAAGTATGAGTTATAAAGTACTGTAACCTTGTGGCATGGTAGTCTTGGTGTCAATATTCTGGCACCATCATGAAAGAAGGCTGGCAATGCTGGGATGCTGGCATGGCACTGGTGCTCACTAGTTGCAATTTGACAGTGACTGAAGCTGTTAAGTGTGTGAATGGATAACTAGCGATCATTTATGGGCCCTATAGTGAGGCTCTTGCACCTGCCATCTTCCATTGTTTGAATCTTATTGCTTCCTTTCTTTGCAAAGATTGAAGGTGTTATGTGTGGGATATTTCATGTACTTCATTTTATGGTTAATTTTCCATGCACTACTTTCTCATTTTAAAGGTCTTGTCCGCTCTTGCTAAACTAAAGATAGGTTGTAATCACCCCCTTAAGTTCAAACATCCTCGTTAATAATTTAGCCTATCACAGGATTTCAATAGCTATAAAGCTTCTAAAGTGCAAATGTGAGGTAAATGTGGCTCGGCTGTTCTGTCAGTTTGAAGTCTGTATTGGCACATTAACCCACACCAAAGTGGTTGGAAGTATGAGTATTGGCTTGGTTCAACTGGTGGATTTTGTGCACATTGTGACCATGGCTGATTATGTGGCCTTTTAATGTGATACTACTGAAAAGCACATGTCATAGAAAATGCTATGTTGTTCGTCATTTCCATGAGCAAAAAAAATCTGATAGATGTTAATACTAAAAACAAAGGTTCGAGCTGAAACCGAACCCACACTTTTTTCATTGTTTGGTATTGTACAAAAGAGCTGTGTCAGTGCTTTTAATGGCTTTGGAAAAAGATAGAGGAGCTGCCAGGTTATGCTAGGAATCATGTTGATGTAATATTGCGTGGCATAAGCATAGAACTACACTTGGCAACACACCATGTGGCTTGTCTAATGAGTGGTGACTGATAGTTGCTCACTCATTACAGATAATTTATTGTCATCATAAACTTTCACAGCAATTACAATGTGTGCAGCTACGTAAGTGCACCTTATAGAAATGTAGTGGGTACTTGACCACTTTGCAGAAACATGAACTAATTGTGGTGCGTACTTTCTAGTAGGCAACCTAAGAGAGTTTACTTCAGCTGATAACAGACACGTCTTCCCTCATGGTACTTTTGAGGTATTAACTGAGAAGCAGTAACAGTAACGCTATCTTGTTCCACTCTTAAAAAAGTGGAGAGTAAGGGTTCTCCAAGTTTTTTTTTTTTGGGGGGGGGGGGGGGATTGCTTTGGCAACTTAGATGGAACAGCCATCAAACCTGTGTATGATTAGTGCATGAACAGTCTGTGGCACAGAAAAAAATTCAGTACAGATTTTTGGCTATGGTTCACTCCAACAAGCAATGCTTAATGGGGCCGACAACAGATTTTATTTTACTCATTTTTAATGGTGCGGTAGGAAGCTCACTCTTCGTAGTGTTTGTAGCTACAGTAGTTAATCTCAAAAGCACATAGTTATTTTAAAAGCAGTGTTTTTAATCTGAAAAGCTCTGAACACGAATGTAGCTTTCCTCGAGCAATGTTGAGAATTGATAGCGATGCCACCAGCCCTTCTCGCAATTCGATAAAGCTGTCGTTTTGATTTTGCAGAAGTTCCAGTAGCTATGCTTGACCACTTGTATTTTTGCTGATTGAATATTTTTTTAAAATAACAAGCTATTACAATGACATGTGGAATAACACGCATTCTCTGTATTTGTACGGCGTGGTGCGGGCCTGTGCCAAAGGTTGCCTGCGCCAGTGTCATGGGTGGCTTGTCCCGGTGTTGTTACTCTCGATATATGAGCCAAGCCGCTGATAATGTCACTGCACATATGCACGGCCGTGCCGAGTAGCAGTGCGCATCATTTATGAGACGAAGTGTAGGTAGTAAAACTATGTAATTTCAAAATCGGAGTGACCTGGAAACTGTGGGCATGGTTGCTAAGGACGTTAAAAAGTTCCGCAAGATGCGCTGATGAGCACGAGATCATTACGTCACGCAAAGGCACTACCACTTTAATGCATAATACAAAAGCAGGTCTATACGTACATTTTAAGGAGTAATATTTTTTAATATTGTTACGTGAGTAATAAGTTGTTTATACCGCCGGCTATTCACAAAATATATTTGTAAGAGTGGTTGCAGCTCTGGCCAGTCTGGCTCCGAGCTCGAGCAGCAAAGCGACCTTTGTCCTCTTCGTTGGGCGCACACGCGCTTCGACAATATGCATTCCGGCCACCTACTTGTGGCATTATAAAGAAACCCACAATTTTTCAATACTAACAAAATAAATCACAGCAACCACCCGTCATGTTGTCCGGCTACATTGGATCGTTTGCTTTTGCCACCAGAGGTGCCACAGGTCATATTTCGCGACTTTCAATGATGCAATAAAAATATATGTACCTCTCATAAAAAACAAAGACAAAACAGGGTCGTTTGAGTAAATGCGATGGACAATCTTTCCACCAGTGGAGTCATGTGAAGCGTGATACTCGAGTTGACAGTCCACCTTGTGGACTGTCAACTTTGGCCTTTACTCATTGGCTGGAGCTCAGCGAGCAGCGCGCCTCCTGTTTTTGGCCCTCTTTCTGTAACATCATTTTAACATCGTGATTCTTTCACAACACTTCTACGAAAATAAGAATAATGGAATGCGTTTCGCCGCAATGAATGCTGCCTCCACAAACCCACTCTTGGACGTAGATATCTTAGGCTGGGCATAAACTCGAATTGCTTTAGTCTTTGAATTGGGTATAACGTGGCCTCCCTCCTAACATAGCTGGATGGTCAGTACCCATTCCCTGCATCGTTGTCCAACAGCTGAACACATTTGTATGCAAGTTCAGACTTGTTGAGATTGATTAAGTGTCCTGTTACTATGCATTTCGTCCACTTTCTCTTTACGCCGCGAATGTGCCGGCAGATTTGGTGCATTGGCGTGTTCAAGAGTGCCATGAAGGCCCCACTCGCCACTTTTTCAAGCAACTGAATGCGCTCCCCTGAAGTGGACATGCCCACTAGAACTGGAAATAACAGTACAGTGTTAAGTGAGAAACACTTAATGTTTCGTCTGCCATGATGCCAGGTGGGTCTGCAAGTGGTCAGCCCCCAACGCACTTCTCGTTTTATGGAGTAGTCGAGTCAGAGGAGCATGGCGGTGCATCTACTTAGCTTCGCTGTTATATTGCAGTAGATTTAAACGAGTTTTGGCAAGACGCGCTTACGAAAAAACGTGAGTTAGATGTAATATTCTGCACTGGCATGAGATGTTACGTCTATGCGCAGTGGTGAGAGGACGATGCTTCGCTTAAACTGTCAAGTGCACCTTGTAATGCTCCAAAGCCGCAGCAAATCTCAGACCTAGTGGTCATCTGGAACATTACAGGTGCTGCTTCAGTGCTATACATCGCATCCCACTACTCACGCTGCACATAGAATGAAACTGAAACTGTACGAAAAGATTCGTAAACAGTTTGCTAGCTAATGCAATCTAATCTGAAGCCCGTATTTCCCATAATTCCCATGAGGGTAAGAATTGCTACATTAAATTCTTTTCTATGTATTATTGCATGAAACACTATAACACTATGGTTGGAGCCATAGAGAGTCGAAGCTTAAACCAGTGGCATTGTGATTTGGCTCAACAATTTAGTTCGCTGTCAGTGTATTGGGGCATGTAGGATGATCATTGACCAAGAAAACTAGGGGGGGGGGGGGGGGGGAATGTGTTTGAACATATTTTAATGCAGCGTGCGATTACGCAAACACAAGAGAAGGGACAAGGGTCCCTTCTTCTTTTGCGTCCTTTTTTTTTTTTTGTCAAGCGTTCAGAGCTCATCCTGGCTATTTCTCACAGGTGATAACGGTTCCTCGCCCATCACAAGGGGGCCAGCAGCAGCGCTTTGGCTTTGGTGTTTCGACGCTAGAGAAGGATGCACCACAAGGCAGCTTTGAGTGCGTCCAGCAGATGGGCCAGAGGGCCCTCGAGTCCCTTGGTTGCCTGCTGCACAAAATGCAGATCCATGCCAGTGAAGACAGCTATGAGAAGACGCGCGTCAAAATGGCTGTTGTGGAGCAAGAGAGCAAGAAGAACTGGTGCGAATGTGCCTTGCACTTCCATTCTGTTATTTCTATTAGGACATCAAAACAGCAAAAATGTGGCTAGGTGTTTGGAATGCTTTAGAAATGATGAGTAAATTAAGTTCGATTGGCTGTTTGCTTCTTGAACCACTTAAGAAGATGCTTCACTCCACTTGTTTCATTCACCGGTGTACGGTGCCAGCATACATATTGCTATATATTCTGTGCTATGCATACTTCATGCAGATAGAGGTTGTCATGCTTCCTGTGATTGTAACAAGAGTAGCTCAGTCACACAAATAAATTTTGACTTGTAGTACTGCGGGTGAAGTAATGTTATGCAAGACAACTTGTCTGGATATTGCAGTAATGTTAATGGAAAAGTTTGTTAAATATACCATTCGTACCATGGCAATACGTATTGTGGGATCTGTGCTGGCTTGAAATCAGCATTATACCAACACACTATGCTGTGAGCGTGTCACAGTTGGAGCATCTGTGGGCCAATAGTCTGTATATTTCTCTACGACGTGGGCACTAGTGGTCATGTTAACACACAGAGAAACAAGCACCATGTAGCACTAGGCACTACTTTCAATTGTGCGGCAACCAATTAAAATCGTAACGTATATCTCATGACTGCCTCTATTTCTTACTTTAGTGGTACTGCTGGATCAGTGTGACTGTGTTTTCTTTGCATAATAGACTTCTTTATCCTAATTGTCAGAGTGTTGCTTTTTTGGCACACCACACTTTCTAAACTAATGGCAGCATCGATTGCAGTTTTTCAATTACGGACTTAAGTGCTAGTTGCTGGGGCTAGGATTTTTCTTCTGCTCATGGTTTCATCAATAAAGTGATTTCTCACCCCCCCCCCCCCCCCCCCCACACACACACACATTGTTTTATTTAATAAGAACAAGCTGTGTTTACACGTTCTTTGCGAAAATGGCTGTCAGTTCAGCAGACTGCCCATCAGGAAAGCTATCTTTAAAATTATGAAGAGTGTCCACTAGCCTTACTTTTTATGCTTGCACAATAGTATTTTCAGTTTAATCAGCCTTTTTTCTCCCTGCAGCACCAAGGTGATTAAAGTGACATCTCCGTATGTAGGTAAGTTCTTTCTTTTTTTCTTTTCTAAGGAAGGGAACACACTCATTACATAGTGTGTTATATGTTTCACCTTTCTTCTTTTTCTGCCATACATTAGCCGTCTATTGTAGAGACGACAGAGCATGTTTTTTCTTTAACCATACTTCCGTTGAGCCCTGGCTATTGTTTGACACGTTCTTATGCTGTCAACTCGTGACAGTCGATTGGCATTGACAGACACATTTTAGCTGAAGGCAGTAGTAATGAAACAATGAAAATTTTTAATGAAATATGAGGGCAATCGCTCTGTACTGGGTACACGTACCACCACAGTATCTGTGGCCTGTTTGTCCGCATTATGTAAGGAGTGTGCATTCAAGGTATATTATCAACTTGTTTTGTTCACCCGCCGTTGTTGCCAAGGAACTAGATAGTTGCTTTGTTAAACACGTGTGCAAGGGTCTGATTCCCGGCCACAGTAGAAGCATTTCAGTGGGGACAAAATGCAGGTACAATCATGTGCTTGGTTTAGGTAAACGTTAAAGAACCCCAGGTAGTCAACATTAATCTGGAGCCTCTGACTATGGTATCGTGCTTTTAACACATGAAGCCCAGAATTTAATTTTTTAACTTGTTTAGTTTTGCACTTCGATTTCTGCAGCATTTTTACGAGCACTTGCTTGAGATTTTATCATAGTGAAACTTGCACTAATTTACTAACTTTGATCCCATCACTCTGGCATGTGTCTTAAGCCATGCATTGCTTGAAGCTTATGCCACATAATCTAGACCTTGTTTCTCATAAGAGTAGTTATTTTGCCTAGCTGGCTTTTGGGACATTACAGTCCTTTAGAAAGTTCTGTGCCTGATGCAGTTGTTTTACTTTCGCGTTTTCCGCAGGACGCAAAGTGAAAGTGAAGCGGCCACAGCTTTCAGTGCCGCCTCGCCAATCCTCTTCATCCCCTCCACGAATAACATTTGGGAAGCCCACAGGCCAAAACCACAACTCAGTGTCCACCAATGAAAGCCGTTCAGGAATCGTACGGCGGTCGTACAGGTTCGTCTGAGCCATAAATTCTGAGCACATTTAGAGGCTCTGTGTTGCGCATCAAAATCCGCTTTTTATGATGGTACTTTGATTCGAAACAAAAAAACTTGTGAGAGCTACAAACTCTAGTTTCAGTTGACATTCGGAAGCTCAGCTTCATGCTTTATTTCTTAATGCTGCACACTTTTGCAGGGAGAGGGTCATTCATCTGCTTGCCTTGCGGCCATACAAGAAACCGGAGCTATTAGCACGACTTATGAAAGGTATGCTCATTTTCATAACAGATTACGAATACTAATAATTTTGTAATTGCTCGTTTTGTAGGTTTATGCAGTCAAACCCACTTATAACGATCCCAGATGTAACGATCTGCCAGTTATAACCATATTTCGGTGCACTTACATTTTTTTATGCTACACATTAGAACTGTGTCCACATATAGCGAACATATTTAAATCTTAATGCTTTTTCAACAAACGCTTTAAACACAGTTGCAGTAAAAGTATGGTACATACTTCGCAACTCATTTTTAGCGCACACTGACACACAGACAAAGAAAAGAAGGGTACAACACCAGCGCTGGTGTTGTACCTTTGTTTTCTTTGTCTGTGTGTCAGTGTGCGCTAAAAATAAGATACGATGCATTCATACCAACTAGCTCGTCTTTCAATATTACTTCAGTTCATGGTACATACTGTTAAGTATGGTTTCTGGGCTTACAAAGGAGCGGCGGTCTTTTGATCTTCGCACATGTCTCCAAATGGCTGCCAGTCTATATCTGACATGTATTGTCCCTACTGGTCAGAGGGTGAGGCATCGGGCCGCCACGACTGCGTAGGTCGTTGCATGAGAGGACGACGTGTTTACGTGATGGCAACATCTTCCTTGGAAAGGACAGCGGCAGTAGCCGCAAATCGTCCCGCTGATTGAGCTAGCAGTTTGGCAGACCCCTTTTGAGCTTGATTATGGTGGCCCTTTTGATGTATGTTGCCATGAGCTCGGGACGCCTCGCCCAGCGGGATGCACACGACAAGGAAGAGCCACGTTGGTGACACAGTGCAGTGACTAAGCTTCAATATTGGATGTTTACTTGGCTGTGTGTGCGCGTCTCCCTCGCAAGTTTTGTGTGACAGGTGATTGGACAGTGTAATTTGGTGCCCTTTCCCCCCCATCTAGGGATCTTGGGAAACGGGACTGTTTATGATCAGCCCTCGTGGGCTTCTTCGGGTGCTTTTATGATACAGTGCTGATGCTTTTCGATGTAGAGCCTTCGACGAAATCATCATGATGTAGGACGACATCTTCGTCTAGATGTTCGTCATATGGCGAGAAACGCTCACTTGTGAATAATGTAAAATAAACCTCTGTAAATATCTCCCCAAGAAGGCACCCTCTTTCCTACAAGATGGGCTGAATGGGTCTGGTGGCGGCGGCCAGCTACCCACGACTATACCTGCCGAACCAGAGCCGCAATGATTGGCAGAGATGGTATGCTGTCAGGCCCCTAATCGTAAGAACACGAAATGAAAAAAAAAAAAAGGGGGCCTTCTGAAGCTGAGAGGCCACAGTTAACTCACGACAAAAATATCGGAGATCAGTGAGCACCACACGTGTATTCTTCATGTTTAAAGTGAGGTCTTTCACTTTCTGGGCATTCCTAAGCGGCAGAATGTGAGTGGGAAAAAGAAAAAGTTGGAGGCAGCATGGTCTTGCGATCAGCTTTCCGCGGCAGCCTTTTCTAACATATGCCGTTCTCTGCAGCTACGACTTCCTACTATGAATTGAACAATGCCTTTGAGGCCAAGAAGCCATAAATGCAAGAAGCAATAGCCACGATAAGTTTTTGTCGCATAAAAGGTCGTTATGTCCCTCAGCTCGACTATTGACACAATGTACTGCAGAAGGCCTTTTGTCTTTTCAGCGATGTCAATATCGTAACAGTCAGCTTCATCGATTAACCAAGTCTCGGACCACTCGCTGGCAGCCTGCGGACGCCTCGGCCAGTCTCGGCTCATAGGCGGCTGCGTCACATTCACGTGATCCAAAAGTCCCAAGCCAGCCCGAGCGGCCTCAGGCCATCTGTGCGATTGATGCTCTCTGCGTCCGCTGTGGCGTCTGCTATGCCATCTGCTGTCCATGGCTGTGACCAACATTGCTAGATACCTATTTACGTTGTGATACAACTTACTATAAGTGAACGACTCGAGTGCGCACACATCGTAGGCCCTGCGGTCGTTCCACCGCTGTTTCTCCTAGCGAGTATAACCCGTGTTTGCTCAACCTTCAGGAATACGCACATGCTCGATGTGGCTCAGAACACCAATGTGGATAACTGGGTGCACAAACAATTTGAAATATTGAAACATGCGAGAAGCGGGCAGAAAAGCAAAGAGAGAGCAGGAGCACGTTCAAGATTTCTCGTGTCAAACTCAAGATGGCCGCACAAGCATGGGCACCGCGCTGTCGTCTGCCAGCTGCCAAAAAGAAATTATTCGGACAGTTCCGGGCCACCCACAGGCCGCCAGGCACGCGAAAAACGAACATGTGTCCGAGTGATCTTGGACTAGTGGGTGGAGCTTCCCGTTGGTCTCAAGAAAAACGAATGCGGCGAGTGATTCTGATCCTCTTCAAGCGCTTCCGATAATATGTCATCATCAGTCAGCAAACCTGCAACGGCCACACCATCACCAACACGCGCAAACACAGCCCAAGATTGTAATGGCGGTTTCTATATCAAAACGCCAACTTGCCCAACAGTCAACTCTTTTGATGTACCCGAGCTGCACATGCTATGTGGGAAATTACAACGCAAAGAAATCAGCAGCATAGGCATCGCGGACAACTGGGGTAGCGGTGGCTGCACAAACTGTACTGTCATCCGCGCATGCGGCGCCCTGTGCGGCGCATTTCACAGACACTAGATGCACCGGGGGGCCCAAGCGCTCCTGCCAGGTGGTGATTAGTGCCACCTGGCCACTTCCCCCCTCATTCATTATCATCATGATTATATTCTGCTGCTGTTCGTTCAATTTCGGTTTCTACAAAACTTGGGTTCCGCCGTAGGTTACGGCGGCGAAGTTGGGACTTTATGCTCTCAGTAACCGAATCGGTTAATGAAAGCATGAAGCCCCGATAGCCCTCTCTGGAATCGTCCGAGCCAACCGGTGCGCGTCTAAATCCCTTCGAATTAATGAGCACTTGACACCATTGAAATATACACAGTTTTGCTGCGACCGTGTCGCATGTCCGGGTTAACTGAATTTCCTAGCTAACGATATCCGAATAAACATCGGACATCGGCAGCGACGCCTTCAAATTACCTTGTTTTTGTTGTTATATTGATTGAGTGTGTTGGAATATTATGTAAAGTTGTTTAGCATGTTGATCAATAGTGATGTATTTGATTCAGTTGACGATATCGTCGATGTAAAAGTAAGTAAATAAATTTACACGATGTTTTGGTTTTATTCAGCCGCGTCTGCTTTTTCCGTTTGTTCCGAGAGCGTAGTGCCTTTTTCCGAGATTCCACCACAATTTATAGGCGACATTCCAAATGCAGCATGCATTGTCCTGCAGGCCTGACCGTCGAGCTTGGAGAAGTGTGTGTTGCTTGCGAAATGCTCGTCTTTACCTCGTTGAATGAGCAGGCCAATCATCGCCCTCGTACATGGTCTGGTGGGAAGCAGGCACGAAGAAGGCATAAACGGTGTGCAACAATTGTCAGCAAATGGTCTGGCAGGGAGCTGAGTAGGCGACGCTCTGCAGGCAAAGATGACGCTACATGCCACGGCATACCTGCCAAGTCTCCCGGATTGGCCGGGAGACTCCCGGATTTGAACCGTTTCTTCCGTTTGTACGGTTGTCATAAAAATCTCCCGGAAATTGAAATTTTTGTGCGTGATCCGGCCGTCTTGACAAAAAAGCAGCTCAATCCACTCCAGGCTTTTCGAACCTACCCCATTTTATTATGCACGAGTTTAAAAGGCATTCATCTTAACGTTCCATAGAATCTCAGTGATGCGAAACCGCGGCAGATACGAATTCGTGAAATTTCTCAGCAATATTCCACTATGTCTATTGGGCCTAAATTCGAATGTTCCAAATACATTTCCTAATCGTGGCAGGTGATATGAACTTTAGTACGAAAATCGTCGAACGAAGGCTGAGAGCAGCCCACTTAAAGCTTCAAAAGTACGCGTGCGACCGGCGCACGCACTGTCTTCTACAGTATGCGAGATTGTCATTGCCACAACCACTGTTGACGAAACCATGGTCGCTTTTGAGGCGATAATGTATGGCGACGACGTAACTGACAGAGTTCTGAACGTGTGCGTGCGTCCAACACTCAACCATTCAAAGCAAGGCTGCTTTCCGCAAACCCTGCGGACAAAACCGCGGCAGATGCGATCGTAGACGGCATAAAACGACTTTGTTTAGAAGGCATGTGCGTAGTCAAGTGCACGGGGATTGACAAAGGAACTACCATTTGCCGCAATCGCTGCGCACAACATTGCAGTCGCGGCGGTGCTATAGCGATCTACGAGCTGCGAGGGCACGCAGCGGTAATCTAAAGGCAGTAAATACGTTTAAAAAAAAAGTAATAGTTTTGCCGCAAAGGGGAAGCAATGAATGCGACAGCAACAACTTGGAATGTCACACTGAGAACGGCGAGCTGATCAAAACATGCAGCGCGCTGCTCACGCACAAATGACGCACGAAAACAATACACACAAGACGAGAGCGAACTAACAACATTTACCGCTCGACACGTAACGCGCTGTTTAAACAAAACAAAAAAAATGATGCTCGATACATAATCACATGTATGGATAAGTACAAACTAACAAGTGTCCCAGTTATACCTCCCTGTATATGAAAACCGCGCTCTTTTCATGTCGTGGGCAGAGCTGTATGTAACGAATGATTAGGGGTTGATCTTAAAGCTTTTTTGTAACAACAAATACAGAAATTTCAATCTGTGGACTTTCGTTTGGTTAGACTAAGTAGCCAGCCAGCCGAAGAAGTTCTGTTGGGGAATCACTATGCCTGTTACGACACTTTCGAATTCGTTGTAAATGGGTTTGACGGTAATATTATAACTGCATTTAAAAGCTGTTGCTTACAGGAGTTACTCTTTCATAATAAATTTCTTTCTATCACTAAATTTTGTTTTATGGGAAACATTTCATTTGTGTTCTTGTATTTTCACTTGAATGCAAGCATTGTCTGTCGCACTTGTGTAGCGGCTAGGGTGCTTGATTGCTGACCCAAAGGGCTGGGGTTCGATCCGGGCCACAGTTCGATGGAAAGAAAAGGGTAAAGGCCCACGCGCTATGCCACGTCAGTGCACATTAAAGAACACCTGGTGGTCAGCATTTTCGGAGCCCTTCATTCACTGCGACGTCACTCCTAATCATATCGTGGTTTTGGAATGTTAAGCGCCAGATGTTATTTACAGCGCATAACTGTATAAAAGTGAAGGCTTTCCAAAGAAGGAAATTCTTGGAAGTTCAGTGCTCTGTGTCCACTTTTCTGTCCCCTCTTGTTGGAATTGCGCTCATTTGCATTCATCATCATATTTACTGCGCTTTTTGCGTTTCACAGGCTTATCTAAACACCTTTATAGCTAGGACACCTTAACTGTTGCTTTTGTTTTCTCACTAACTTTTTTGAGGGCAGTCAATTTTAACCTGATGGTCACTGAGTATGCTTAGCCAGGTGACGTTGAGTTTACTCCTGTCTATAGACCTCTCCCTGTTTGTAAACAGTGTGACGTCACTGCAGGCACCCCACCCCCCATACCCTCTCTCGGAGCAGGTGCTGGTTGGCAAGAAAGTTCCTCCGGCGGCATCTTTCTGCATAGCAGAGCTGCGTGTCTGCATTCCTTCGACAGAAATTTTTACACTGCTATGTTCTAAAGTCGCAGATTTTGAAAGAAGGGGGTCGCGGCAGGGTCACTGCTCATAGTGTGGAAATTTTCTCGTCGTAGGTGGATGCAGAAACTTTATTTAGAGTACGGAGAGACGCGACAAGCACGCAGCGAGCTTCACCCACGTAGATGGCAGCCATAAAAAAAAATCTGATCTTTTTCGAATAGAAACATTTTCAGTGCACCCGGTGACTGGCACTTTGAGAAATATTTGCATGGTATGGATGTAAACTTATTCAATTTTCGTCGTGGCATGTGCAAAGCAGTTTTAAACGAGGTATAGCATTGGCGGCAGCATGCTTTTGAGCTGCTGTGCACGACATCACGGATAACATTCTCACCCATTGCTCAAAAGTCTGATCGGAGATGAAAAAAAAAAAAAAGCCCCTTCTTGCCGTGAGTTAGGCTGAGGTTAAGATGTCCTCGTGAAAACCAAAGTGAAGTTCTGCCGCTGCGTTTCTCAATAACCCAGTGGAAATTCATGTGATGAAAAACCCGACATTTTAATGTTATATAAAATTATCTGGCACAATTACCTTGCTGGATTTGACACCTATAACGTGTTTTCGTACCTATATTACTCCTTTAGGCCTGATACGCACTTCCAATGCAAATTGTCACTTCATAAGGATCGAGCCGTAAAAAATGTACAAAGTAGATAACAAACGAAAAATCTCTGCTGTTTCCATTAACATGTATCAGGTACTCGATAATACGAGTCATAGTTGTGGTGAAGCGTATATGCAGATTCAGCAACGCTACAACATGCTTATAGCTCAGGCATAGTCATATATATCACCCGGAGATCATGCACTTTTATTTTTCTGCACGCTGCGCATACGCTGAGATGTACCCACTCGCAGATGATCACGTCAAATGTATTTTAACCTTGACTCTAATGTCAGATCGTGAAGTTCCATAGACAACCGGGTACTGAAGCCGGCCCACAACGAATGCCAGTGTTTTCGCAAACAGGACGCATCTCGTTATTCACACTGCACACACCACGCACAATATTTCGAGTTTCACCGTCTGTAAAGTGAACCACTATTGTCGATGCCTTTCAACGCACACTACACACCACAATCAACACTGCACATTTTCGAAGACGATGTCACTGTTCCTCGCACAGGCCGCCACGTGTGTTCACTTCTCAGAGATAAACAGCCAGCCAGCGTGGCGAATATTTCATCACGCACTTCATCACACACCTAGATGTTCTCTGACACATACCACAGCTAATATTGCCGCTGTGAGATGAAGATTAAGCTTTCAAAAAGAAAAAATATTGCCCCAAGCACAAGCACCGAGTGACTGTACCCCACTCAACCGCCGGAAGGAGTGTTTTGCCAACCGCCGCCTTGCACGTGCACCGGTGACGTCACGCTGGGACGTACCCCGGTAGAAGTCTATTGTAAACCTAATGAAGTTGTAAACTCCTGTTAAATAGAACCTGAAGGGACCAGTAAAATGTGTTTCATTTTACAGGAGTTCCGTTTACTCAGAGATGAATGAGGGTGGAAAGTCAAGTATGAAACCAATCGTACTGGAGACAGTTTTAAGGGGCTGTTCTGTGTAAACAGATTTATGTTTACTGAGAGTCTACTGTATTGTGGTTTTGGGACATAAAACCCAAGGTAATAAGCATAGCCACCAGCACTTTATGTTGTCCAATTTCTATGTTGGCACTGACAGTGTTTTCTTCATGTTGTCATACCATGTAGGTATTTTCATGGTGCCTCAATGCCGACTACGGTACTTGCATACCTAAATTTTCATTGTTTACCATCATATGTGTTCGTAATGTAACCCTTTTTGTGCTATGTTTTAACAAGGAGCCTGTAAGGCACTGTGAATGAATGAAACAACACAAATATAGTTAGTTGTTTGAGGATAAAATTATTGTGTGCCCTATGAGGGCTGACAAACCAAGATTGTTCTTTGCTTTGTTTTGAATAGTTTTATTGCCATGTGTACAGAGGGCATTAAGGAGCAGGACCGCAAGGGGCTTTCAGCAGTGCTAAGCCAAGTTGCAGTGCTCAAGGACAATTCGTACTGCTTAGCGAGGCATGCTTGGAACCAAGTTTGTGACGACTGGCCCTACTACACGCCCGAGGAGCAGGAATTGGTCAAGAGGTAAATGGACTAGTACTTGTGTTGTGTGTGTCTTGCAGCGAGCCTGCTTCTGTCACTTAGCAACACAACTGCTGAGCACAGGATTTATTTATTTATTTATTTTATTTTCCTCAAGGGTCCCTAACAGAAGGGACATTACATGAGGGGTGAGCATACAAGAAGAGGGTGGGGCGGTAACAGGTACATTTGTTTGAGGACTCTGGATGAAAACATTTTTCAGTGACAAAAGGTACCACGTAAAAGGTTTCGAAACATTGCCAAGTACACAAAATATATATACATGCCATACTAGGGAGATGACACTAGAAACCATTATACATGAAATAGCATGGCAGGTCACAGTTCAGTTAGCTATTACAGTTCAGTGATGGTTGTCAGGGAGTTTTTAAAGGCTTCTGCATCCTGAATGCTAACAATGGTTTCCGGTAGGGCGTTCCATTCCTTAGCTGTCCAAATGAAGAAAGATTCTGCAAATGTGGTAGTTTTGGGACGAGGGTAATGTACTTGCATAGTGTTGCAACAACGATCAGAGAAATGGGGGCGTTGGGTGACGTAAATGCTGGATGGAGATGCGTGATAGAATTTGTGGAATAATGCGAGCCGCGCAGATTTTCGGCGTTGACTAAGGGGAATGAATGCGGCACGTTTCTTTAAGTTTGTTACACTGGTGAACGATGAGTAATCGGAAAAGGCGAATCTGGCAGCGCGGTTTTGGATGGCTTCTAGGTTTTGGATGAGATAATGCTGATGCGGGTCCCAAATTGCTGCGGCGTACTCCAGTTTGGGGCGTATTATTGTGGTGAAAGCTAATTTTTTTAAGTGGCTAGGAGCAAACTTCAGGGTTCTTTGGATATAACCTAAAGATCTACGAGCTGTTGAAATGACGTGATTGATGTGGAGGGTCCATGATAGACCACTTGAGATATGTATTCCAAGGTATTTATACGAGCTAGTCTGTTGTAGAAAACTGTTATGTAGGGTGTAGTTGTACACTAACGGATTAGTACGTCTGTGAAAAGACACTGATCTACATTTGGAAATGTTTAAACTCATCTGCCACTTGTGGCACCAATTTTGAACGGCTGTTAAGTCTGTTTGTAAAGCTATTTGGTCTTCATGACTAGAGATTGTTGCGTAAGTAACGCAATCGTCGGCGAATAATCTTATATTGTTAGTAATACAGTGTGGAAGGTCGTTGATATAAATCAGGAAAAGCAGGGGGCCAAGTACTGTTCCCTGGGGAACACCGGAGAGGACGGGAGAGATTTGAGACCTGGCTGTATTTATGACGACGAACTGTTTTCTGTCAGTGAGAAAGTTATTAATCCAGGACAAGACGAATGGGTCGAGGTTAAGCAAAGAAAGTTTGGTCATAAGGCGGTGGTGAGGAACTTTATTGAAGGCCTTTTCAAAGTCAAGAAATATGGCGTCAGTTTGGATGTTCCGGTCAAGATATGTAGGCATTATTGACCTGATAAAGGAGTTTGATGTGGCATTTTGTATAATAATGCACGACACAACTTAAATATGGCTTTTCAACTGTTGCTGGCTGTTAGAACTTGATTAAGACTACTGGAGTACTGATGTTAGATGTTGTTCTGACACAAAATAATGTTTGTTTAGTTGTGTGTGGAACTGTGCTGCATATATTTCTTCCAGTTGAGCACAGACCATTTTAGTTACCTTCTACGCTTATGGCATCATCTATAAAAAATGCAAATTGCAGGCCAACATATGTAATATATAACCTCTTTAGGTCTATCAATGCCTAGGGGCTTGATGTGCACACTTCTGCATCATGCCCAACACAGTGAATGGAGCTTTTTTTTGTTTAAGCGAAGGGCCGAGCAATAGAAAATGTACCTTGGAAGCAGTGTAAAACCTTCGCAAATATATGTAGCTGTTAAAGGATTGTGACAAAAATGTAAAGCATAAATACATGCACTGTCTGGGAGTAATATATATATATATATATATATATATATATATATATATATATATATATATATATATATATATATATATATATATATAGCATGTTGAAAGGAAAAACTTTATGGCGGCATTTAACTATGTTCAGGCATAAGCATGCTGTAATGAATGACGAGCTGAGGCAGTAGCACTGCCAATATATTGTGAGGTAGAGTGTTGAAATTGTGCACTGAGGGCAATTTAAATAATATTATTACATAATCATAATTTTAAAGATAGTATTTTGTGTCTTAGAAGAACATACAACTTATTGTGCAAAATTTTTTTTTTAGCAGCGTGCATTATGCTTTCTGAGGACTTGACCACATTTCAGAATGCGGCCACACAACCTGACCCCTCCGAGTGAAAATGGTCATCACTCTCCTCCAGCTCACAACCCTACGTCACGCACGTCGCCCAGTGTACAGGTCAGTGTGCTTGAATCTTAAGGTTGTGATAGCTAGAACTGAGCAAGTTATCGCATATTGCCGATTATAAGCAGACTCCCGTTATAGGTCGACCCGCCCCCAACTTGCAACTCCTTCTAGGCAAAAAAGAAAAGGGTTGACTTTGAACACAGCCTCATGCTGCAGCCTCAGCACACCAGTAAGTTTTTCAGAAGAGAGAGGGATGCTAAGAAACATTTATTCGACCGTGAAACATCGTTCATGACTCGTCGCTTAAGATAAGGATGAAGCAATCACAGTCATTGCCATCGTGTGAGCCACAACTGCTGCTCATTGTTGAAAGGGGTGCTGGTGGTACTGAGATGCAGCCCCTTGAAAACGCTGCGCTGACTATGTCGGTTGGCAGTCTATACCAGGCATCATTAACCTATCGCGCCATTCACTCAAAGAGCTCGGTTTGCACTCGGTTAGCCGGATGCACATATCCTTCACGACATTGCATACTTTTGCTTCAATATCATCGTAGCAAACACTCAGGATTTTCCTTCTTTGGTCGTGAACCCACTCTGAATCGCCTCCTATATCGCTAGGCATCGTCCAGACTTTGGTCCGCAAAATCAACGGCGTGTCGCAGGGTACGCGAAGATCTTGGTGCTTTGTTTTCTTTGTTTCCTCATGCACTTTTCTGACACATTGAACTTCTGCACTGCCTCACTGTTGCTTTCCGTCTCTGTGTAGCGGACCGCTTGCCACTTGAAAGCAGTGCCGTACTGTTGCCAGTGTAGTGGAGACATCTTGGCGTCTGTTGAGCAGCTTCACAAATCGTGCACACCACTGTTTGCAAGCAAGGCGAAAAGCAGAAATGGCGAGCTGATGTGAGGGTGAAAAGACTTGAAGGCACTTGTGGACGAATGTGTGGGATTTTACTGGTCATGTGGTTTTGTCCCCGCAGAGTGTTGCTAGCTTTTCTGTGGAACGCCCATGGTGCTTTGCGGGAAAGCTGAATTTTTGAATTGCCTAGTCAGCAGGCGCTGTTACAGCACGCTGTCCACTAAAGTGAGAAATGCATGTTACGTCTTTGGGGAACGATAAACGTCACGTTTTTTGTGAGCAAGAGAGGCATGTTGAGTTTTTTGCGACAGATGAACATATGTCGCATTTCTTTCTGAGCCAAATGCACTGTTATACAGTTGAACCCCGCTGCAATGAACGCCTTTTCAATGAAAGACTCACGGTTCTCCGTCAGCAGTCCATAGAAGTCAATGCATAAAAATTGTCGCCACAACGAACACTTTTTCTTCTGCCATCCCGCTTCAACGAAATTTCACGATGCGATTCCAGGCTCAGATATTTATTGCTATACATTAAACCGAATGTTTAACATTTTGATTCATTTTCAGAACCTGAAAATACCTCGAAGTCCAAAACACGCATTGGCACCACCAGAAACCACCGCTGTTCAGCAAGCATGGGCGCGGCCATCGCTATCGAGCAATGGCGGCGCCCATGCTTGCTGAACAGCGGTAGTTTCTGGTGGTGTGAACACGTGTTTTAGACTTCGTCGACGTATTTTCAGTTTCCAAAATGCATCAAAATGTTAAAAATTGAGTTTACTGTATAGCCGCAGACGATCCGAAGCTGAGGCTCACTTGCTTAGTTCATGGTTTCCTTCGCGCAGCTGCTGGGTGCATCTGCGGAACGATGCCTTTTCAGATTCCAATGCTTGTCATTTTGTTCGCGTTTGGCTAGTGTGGTAACTAATCAGAGCGGCTGTTTGTCTGCATTATCAACAAAATCAACTAGCTGTGAGTGATGGATGATAACAATGGCATAAAATAAGTCAAAAGTCACCGCTTCTTGACACCCTGCTGGCATCTCAAGGTTTTGACTGTGGACAGCTGCTGGTGTTAACGTGTTAATGCTACTGTTCGGTTCGTTCACGAAAGCGATTGTAGTTATTGTTTCAGCGTGCTTTTCACCATGGCCTCGCTTTTCATGGGTGAGAATCGCGTCGTGACGCTGCTGGCACAGAATAAAAAGCAGCGGACACTTTGAATTTTGAGAATAAACATTTCTTTGTTTTGCTAGTTCAGATCGGCTATATTTTTTCAATATCGCTATAACGAAATTTTCGCTTTAACAAACTTTTTTCTGCGCCCCTTCAGTTTCGTTGTAGCAGGGTTTGACTGTACAGTTGATGACCAATTTTCCGGACGTCCGGAAATCCGGACATGTCTGATTTCCTGGTATCATCCCCAGCATCGTGAAGTTCCCCATAAAGTCAGTGTATTAAAAAGTCTGAAATTCTAGATGCTTATAGCCTTCGCCATCCAATTTTCCGGACTTCTTGAATGGTATCCGTTACATAGGCCACACCTCAGGCGCTGAGTGATGACGAGCGAGGACGTCATCAATTTTAGTGTTGTCATCGCGGTGCCTACATGTGGTACCGTCTGGCGGTGACGCCTGGCAACGGCTTTACTTGCTTTGTTTTGCTTGATTCCTGCGATGCCTTCATGTGAATACTACGTTCTCGTTGTGCCGCTTTGGGTGGTGATCTGTTATGGAGTCGTGAAAGCAAATCTGACTATTTGACGCTACGATAATTTCAAACAAGCAACGTGCGCGCAGTGTTCATATGTCTTACCAGCCAGCGTCTCCAGCTGCCTCGTCGCTGCTCGGTCCAGCATCGATTTTAGAATCACTTCTCAAAAGAGGATCGAACCAAAAATGATTCTATGCCGCGAATGCATATTTCTCGGTGTTTTCATTGTCGCTTGTGGACACTTATGACAGCGGCGACCACAGTAAGGGTGGCGAAGACATGCCTCTACGCGTGCGTGCTGAGCAGACGAGATTTCATCCGAAACTCGCGTCATCATTTCGTGTGGCCACGTGATCAGATGGGGCGAAGCCACGAGAGGTGATCGCTTGACAGCACTTAAATATATGGCAGCCTTTACACTTGTTTTGAATTGGGCTCGATACTGGTCATACTATACTCGGGGACAACTTCCTGTGGCAATGAAGGGAAGGCTACAGAGCCAAAGTGGGCATATTTCACCATTGTAAAATATGCAGCCGCCGACCGTTTATTCGGACTCGACGGGAACCGCCGAAAAGTTGGAATAATCGGGGGTCTGAGAAAATGAATTCACTATAAAAAAAGCATTTTTATAGGCCCAATCCCCCGAAAAAACTGTCTCGCGTCTGCACACACGCACGCTTACGCGCGACCACGTCGGCCTGTATCTCTGCGAGTGTCTGGCCGTCGCCATAGACAGACAGCAGCATCGATGTGGCCTGCGCTAACCGCATTTGATGGTTGTGGTGCGGGCGACGTGTCATCGTTGGCGTCACTGTCCACCAGCGCCGGCTCGCGGACCTGACGATCTCATCATCGTCCCACTCTGCGCAAGGCAAAACAGCACTGTCGAAGTTGGCGAACTCTACTAACGTACCCACCGCCGCATCGACCCTGCTAGCACGAAGGTCGTCCAAAATATTCACTGCTGTGGTAGGCGGAGTCTCAATTGCGAGGTTCTGTCCTGTGGCACTGTCCTCTTTAGTCCCAGTCATAATTCCTGCGTGGCAGAAGCAGTTGTGGATTGTTTCCCGAGTCACTGACTTCCAGGCATCGGACAACATGCTGATGGCTGTCAGAATATCCACGACGTAGTTTTTGTTACTGTTGATGCATAACAGCATGCGATTCAGGAGGCGCGACCAGTAATGAAATTCCAAGTTTTTGGTCACGCCCTGGTCCATGGGCTGCAACACACTTCTCGTGTTAGGCGGCAAAAACCGTGCACCGCAGTTGTCGATGAACATCATGCCCATGTGCACTGCAGTTGTCGATGAACATCAGCACATTGCAATTTTGCTGTTCGTACCGGCGGTCGAGCTTGCGAAGGTACTGTTCGAAGAGGTTTTGCATAATCCACGCCTTCGAATTCGCTTCATACTACACGGAGTGATTTGATGCCTTTAAAACATCTCGGATTATTTGATTTCACTATCACGAGCAGCGGAAATTTCTCCGTCCCCGTCATGTTGCCTTTTACAACAACTGTCAGTCGCTCCTTGCTTTGCTTCCCCCCATGACAGGGTTCACTAGACAAAGCTAGCGTCTTGTCGGGCAGCATCTTATAGAAAAGTTTCATCTCGTCACAATTAAAGACGTTTTCTGGTGGATACTGGCAGTGAGCACAGCTTGTCGTCGCGGTAGTTGGTCACGAGCGTTTGGTCGACGGAACCACTTTCACCGCATATTCGCTTAAAGGCCAGGTAGTACCTTTTCTTAAAATTGCACAACCAGCCGTCACTGATCTTGCAGCCGGTAATACCCATGTGCAGGGTGAGCGTCTCTGCTTTCTATCTCAGCAGATCGCCATTCACGGGCATTTTCCTAGCCACCGTGGCACTCAACCACATGTTCAGCGCCTCTTCAAGCTGCGGGTGGCTGCCGTCCCAGAAATTTTTCTGCTTACCCGCAGACGCTTTCTCAGCTGCCTCCTGCTTAAGGCCTTCTGCTTAAGATAGTCCGAGATAGTTTGCTTGGAAATAGAAAATTCCCGAGAAACTCCAGACTGAGGTCGGCCACCTTCTACCTGGCGAATTGTCTCCGCTACCGACGGCGCAGCAACGGGTGGCGTCGGAGCCATTTCAGCACGCCACGGAACATGCAAGAGAGCGAGAACACAGAAAACAGTCGAACTAGGCCTAGCCGCAGGAGCAACTGACTGGCACGCTGACACATGCCAAACGCCACAGCGAACAAACTGCGTAGGTGGCTTGGCTTGGCCGCTCGACTGGCTAAAATAAAAAAAAAGTGTCGCCACACACAGCCTTTGAGATCGGCAATGGGGATTTCTGCGTGAATTTTGACACTGGCCCGATGTCCATCTATAGCTAGTGCAGCATATCAGTGCTGGCAACCTAGCAAACGTATTGTCAATGTCGCTGTTAGCGTGTAATGGCGTACGGCGACGCATCCGGTCAGCCAAACGTAGTCCGAATAATCGAATAGTGCACAGCGAGGCATTTGAATTTTCGGTCGTGAGTTTACATTAGGATCAATGGAGCGAGTGGCGGTACCACGAATATGTCCGAAAAAACGGGCATGTTCGAATTTTCGGCATCCGAATTAACGGTCTGGGACTGTAGTGCCACAAGTGCATCAGTTTTCCACGTGAAAGCAATAAAAAAGAACATTATTTTCTACTAAATGCTGTTTATAAAGGGATGCTGCACATGCCAAGGAGATACCATTATTATTTGTTGCTTTCTGAAGAGTCATTTCGTGTTTTTACGTGTCTGAAAACATTGCACATTTTACGTGCACCTCTCAATCAAAATGGCGTGTTCGTCTTTAGGTGAGCGCACGTCACCTTCCAGCTATTGTGACGACTCGCCGAAGGAGCTTGGTCGAATTTCTCTCAGAAATGGCTGTGTAAGCAGGCGTATCAAATTATGTGCAGTGAGATTACATGAACACGGCCGTCATTTGAAACGCGAGAGGAACCGAACTACTTCGCGGAGGTGTACAGGAGCAGTAGCTCTGCCCACGTAGCCTTCCCTTCATTGCCACAGAAAGTTGTTCCTGAGTATGATCAATATTAAATATAATTCGTCTTTCTGCTGCATTATTAATACTGAATAATTTCTAAGAGATTGATAACTATATGTTGATGCAACAAACGCAACATGAATCAAGTTGATGTCATTGCTCTTAAAAGGAGAATATGTGCTAAATGTGTTATATGTGTCATCACAGCTTCCCTTTTCATTTAGGGCATGCTCGGACACGTAACAACTCTATATCGCGACGAAGCCAACTTTTATGAACAGTTGAAGTTAGAAATAGATTGGTGTATAAAACTGCTTGCTCGAGGCTGTTAAATAATTGGCATGGTGGAAGCAGTAGCTCTGAATACAATCAGACTTCTTTATAAGAGACTCTGATGTAACAGACAAATGGATATAGAAATACCAGTGCGTGATAAAATGCATATGTGGGGCTTATTAGAGACACATGATATAAAAGACAAGAATTGCTGCCGAGTGCATGTGTCTTATAAAGGGGTAATGTGAATTCAGTTGTGCCATTTGAGAAGAAAATTCTAAAGCAAACTGGGAACATTCTCACTGTCCAAAATTGCTTGTCCTTGTAATACACTGGCTTTACGCTATGTGGCAGTGCTGCAAGGATGGCTGAATCTTCAGGCATGTCCAAAAAATTACTTCTTGGCTGTATATGTGTATCATTTGTTTTATGCAAACGTTAGTCTTGAGATCTTACCTAACTGACTTATGATGGGAAAATGGAGGCTATCAGATCTAGTGATATTAATATACGGGGTGTTCTTTTTGTTTTAGACAAAACAGGTCTTCAATGAATATTCTATGGCAGTTGTGCTGCAGTCATTTTTGCTCACGTGCTCTGTCGAGGTAGAAATACTTTGCCGCAACTAATTTTACATTTGTGAGACTGATTAGCAAGAACTCTATAATTAACCGTGTAGTTATTGTTTTGAGAGTAGTTTATATTAGAAAGTTGTATTGCATGCTCATTTATGGCATATTCATTTTTTAGAATCGAGAAAAGCTGCAAGCAATTCGAGATCTTCGTGTTTGAATTTTAAGGGGTAAATAGAAACCGAATGCACTCCGCACGCAGGTGTCTTTGTTAGGTCGAACTGGAACTACCTGGTACAACGAAGTAATGAAATTTGAATAAAGGTGTGTCGTGGTCATGTATATATTTTTTTAAAGCCGCAAGTCATCTTATTTGCGCCAGCAAATTGCCTTATCTTTGCATGTGGTGTTTGGCGCTCATCTGCTTCTTCCAAGCTGTGTGCAGTAAAATCGTGATATCAACCTTTTCTTTCTCTGTGAAGCATAAAACTTATGGGTAGCCACTACGTCACATCTTGCAGACTGGCGTATTAGTGTTCTGTGCTTTTGTATGGATTAAGAAATGAACTGATGAGCACCTGAAATCACACCTGAGGAATAAGCTGTTTACTGGTGTGTTTTAGATTTCCTGCCGATTGTTCCGTGGCACATGTAGTTTCAGCCTGAGTAACAGATGCTGCATTTCCTGCGCACCAGGTGCAAGTAGTTTTTATTTCGCCTTTAAAATTCGATGAGATCTCGAGTTACGTTCAAAACATTCATGATTTCTAAAAAATGGGCATACCGTAAATTGGCATGCAGTACTACTTTCTAATACACTGCCGTCAAGTCAATAACTGAAAATTAATTAATGAGTGTGTTAATTAGTATCTTTATAATGTCATTTTAGCTGTGGCAAAATATGTTTACCTTATCATAGAGTGCATATGCGAAAACAACTACTGTGGGCCCCTCACAATTTTTTTATTATAAAGTCTGTCTTATCTAAAAAAAAAGTGCCCTCTGTCATCCATTAGGTTTCACGCATCTGTATGAAACTGGTTCCTGTATGAATGTATGGAACTGCAAATTACTTCAGTGGATTGTTACATTAATGAACTGACTATTGAGTCCCAGCAGCTTTCAGACTTTTCAAAGAATTTCCTAAGTAGTATGGCTGCTGTACTCTTATGCAGTTAGGTATTTCTTTCTGTTTCCTGGTTCAGAAACGGGAGCCATGTCCAGAGCCCCCATCGTCTGTCCCCGGCAGCAAGCGCCAGAGGATCAGCCTCTGTACCAACGGTGCTGCGACTCGGCCACCACACTCGAGAGTTCTTGCAGAGTCCACATCAGGCAATCAGCCGTGTCGTGTACAGCCGCCCAATCCTGAGCCTGTCACAAACGTGCCCTTCGCCTGCCATTCCAGCCCTGGGTCATCACCAGACTCTAGGGACTCAGGAGACTTGCATGGTATGGGAACAGCTGTCCTAAAATGATGCTAAAGATTTTCTACTCTGTATTTCTTTCAGAACAGGGTAGCTTGACTGGGCACTGCAATTACAGTGACACGTGTTTAAACACTCGCACTTTTCTTCCCGAGAGGCCACATTAATGGATTTTTTTTACTGAAACTTTTTCACATTTTGAGTTCCTATCTCTATTGATAATTTTATGTCTCTGCACTGATATGCATTTCTTAACTGTTTCCTGTGGTGAAATCTTATTCTCTTCTAAAGTTGTTTTGACAGCACTTGCATTTTGGCAGCACATTGGCATTGCACTTCCTAACCTTTTTGTTTTTTGCTTGCTTTTCTATACTTCTTTATTATTTTTGCAGGCACTGGTGTTTCATCAACTACCCCATCTCCACGAAACTCCACAAACCAAGTTCTAGAGTATGTCACGTAAGTTCTGCAATTTTCCTGTTTTATGTACAATGATACGAGTGAGCAAAACATTGCGACATTTGAAAAGTGGTGACCTAATTAATGTTACACATGAAGATATTCGTCTGTTGATTTATGTATGGTATGTGCCACTCAGCATGCATTGATAAGTTTGTTTGCAGACTTAGCCCCGTGTTGGCTTTTAATTGAAATCCTCTTCGTAACTTGCTCGTTAACTTCACTTCTATAGACCTTTATTAGCTATACATTTCATGCGGGACTCACTGTTATCGTTCCAGGATTAGGCTAAATTTACAAATAGAATATTAGCAACGTATGAAATATTCTATGCAAAAGGCGTCGTGTCTTTTTTTCTTCTAAGGCCATTTCTCCCAGTGATAAAACAACGATTTCCTGAATTTTCGAGTTTCATTAGTATCGCTAAAACCCTGCATGTAATTTTTTTAGTGTGAGTAGCATGAAACATCTCAAATAAAAAATAAATTGTTAATAGTGCTTGAAAATTCCAGCTTTTTCATATGTTGTGTTATTTTCTTTGAGCAAAACAATGATCTCTTGCCTTTTTTTTACCGCATGCAGCAAGTACACTGAAATCATAAGCAAGGAGCAGCGAGATCGATACAAGGCTGACTTCAATGCCGAGTATGAGGAGTACAAAGCCCTCCATTCCACAATAGAATCTGTGTCGAAGAGATTCTCCGACCTGGAAGACTGCCTACGCACTGCCCGAGAAGGAACGGAACAGTGGAATGTAAGTTGATTGCAAGCACACTGCCTTCAATATGAGCATTCAGACTGACATGTCAATCAACATACTATACTTTCGTGAATGTAAGTTGAGCATGATTGTGGTATGTGGTGGAATTAATCTTTGAATCCATCAAAACCAGAACTTTGTAATAAGATGTTTTTTGTTTCATATATAAATCTTCCCAATTAACTGGTACAGTGACAGTAATTTCACACGTTTGGCAAGACTGGTAGAATCTTATCTGCATGCAGCATTTTTAATGCTATGCATTTAGATAGTGAAAGTGAGTACAGCTTGGCATGTTCATTGTAGAATGGTATATTTCATAATGTCTGTTTCTTGAGTGGTGCTTGTGCGGTGATGGACAAACTTTACAGAAAAGACATCTGCGGCAGCTCTTGAAGGCATGCCGAAGGTCAAAGTGGGAAGAAAAATTGGGGGACCCTTAAAGGCTAGTCAAACAGGCTCCAATTTTTGTTCATATTCTCTAAAGAAGCTCGGCAATATGTAGAGTAGACCGCGGTGATCACCTTTCTCGAATATTACAGTGCTGCACAGAGCCTCTATTACGAAAAACAATCCCGCACCCCTTCACCTCGCCTGACCAATACTCTCTTTACGTGAAGTGATGGAATCGATGTAGCACGCAGCTCGTCGATTGGCTTAAACCACTCGCAACCATAGGCTACGCCTTGCCCTTCATGTGAGGGACAAGGGTAGCAAGGTCGCACGAAAATTTGAAACCAGCTGAAACCGTTATCCTATCCCCTGTAACTTCTTCCTATCCCCTGTAACTTCCTTAATATAGCACAAGTTCACAAAATTCCTGCACAAAATTCCTGCGGTAGCATGTTCAGAAAGGCAAAGTGCTCATCTTTCTCTTCATAAGAATTTTTAGACCTCAGGGTTGTTTATTAGCCTTTAAGCTTCACCTTAAAGGACCCCTGACAGTGAAAGTTTTGTTTGCGAGTTTTTTTACAGTAATTTGTAGCATTGCATCTAATAATGCAAAAATTGTATCATAAATGCTCTAATGCATCGTATAATTAATGCTAGCGGCGTTAATTCAGAACGATATTGCGTCAGTTCAAAACGCCTGCCGAAATAACATCAGAAACTAACGCCCCACAGTGGAGCAGTGCCTGAAACTGTGTGCTCAAGCTTCGGTGATGCTAAAACACGCCGTTTTCAAATAGAGGGACCCGCAAGCAGTGATGAATGAAATGATGTGGGGGCTTTGAGCATGTTCCCCTCAGAAAAAAGAAAAGCATTCCTCACTTAAGCAGACTGAACCACTTCAAGAACAGCCCGACAAAAGAAGCAAGAGGGGTGACGAACAGTAGTTCTCGCCGGGTGCCAGTCGCGGTATTGTGCGCGCCCTGCAAATGTTCACCTCTGCAACGTCGCAAGGGGATCCCCTATCTACGTGAAACCACAGAAATCTATTGTACCCGAATACTCGGAGGAGCAGGCACCCTTACTTAAAAACGAAATTAAAATAACTTCTAGGCAACTCGAGTTTCCAAATTTCGTGTCGGGGGGTCCTTTAAAGAGTTGAACGTGATAGGGATATCCTGTCCCTAGTGCGCAGTTCCACTTGGTGCATACATTTTATTGTATAATGTTAGTCGAGAAGTCTGGATTAGTTTAGTGTAATCGATAAAGTTGAACGTAACTTGTGTTGGTGAAGCCCTTTGCATGTGGCTGCATTCTGTGCAATGAGTAGCATGCTTTAAACCACGAGCACTTATGCACATGAAATCTTTTTGAACTTGCTATGCACCCACTACGTTGTCTTAAGAGAATGCGCGCATAACCTGTCTGCCTTTTGTAAGGGACCACTGGCTTGAAACCATGAAGTCGTTATGATAACCACATGATCTGATGCCTGATGACAATGTACGCCTGTACTATGCAATATTACTGCAATATGACATGTTGTGTTGTGAAACCTGTGTTTTTGTAAAGCATGAAAGTTATTTTTGTCACAACATTTCCTTGCAGAGGAAGTTATTTTCACTGTGTTTCCAAGCAGATGCGTAGATTTGGGATGTAAACACCTGCTTGCCACACAAACGGCCTGGGTTTAATCCTCACTAGCACTGGGATATTTTTATTGTTTGTTTTATTTGCATCTTTCTCGATTTTTCGGTCTCGGACAGGATGATAATTTTTCGCTCACAACCAAGACACTCACCCTGACGCTGTAATTTATGCAGAACAAGCGCTTTAATACTATTATCTTAAAAAAATTCGTAAAGCATGCTCCAAGTCACTGAAGGCACAGAAGAGCTGGTCGGCCCTCTGCTGTTCCTGGCTTGACTGGGCATCTGCGCATTCGCATGGCAAAGCGCGATGTGTTCATCTGATTGCAGCGTAAAATATGAGTATTGGCCAAATATTGATCGGATTTGATTGGTCATCATTTGGCAATTGTAGCATGAAGTAGCTTAATTAGGCAAATTCACTTAATTGATCTAATTTGCATATTCAAGACTTATTATCGATTAACGTGCATCTCAAGTAAACTTTGCTTGATTACATTATATTTAAATCAATTAAGGTAACTTTTCTTATTGTCTATCATATTCAACACTTGGTCTCAATTAGTGTGCATTCCATGTGAACCTTCACTTAATGAGCAACATTTGAGATTATTGTTAATTATAATTAGCTCAGCTGGACACATTTTGTTGAGCTTGGCATGACTAGGCACACCAGAATCAACTATGCTTGTCTAAAACTAATTGGGTTTCAATCAAACTAAATTTTAATGCACATGTAATTAAATGTGACCCTGCCTAATTAGGATTGGCATAACTAGGCACAGCTATGCTTAGGGAACGCAGCATGATGCTGGCTAGTTGGACAAACAACATGTGTAGCAGCTCTGTTGTAAGGAAGTCACTGATGATTCTATTAAGTCTTTGAAAGTTATTGTATGTCTTTGAATCGCAAATTGGTTGATCAGCATATATAATTCCAGTTACAGAGGGTGGTTAGGTACTGCATGTGTTCACAATTTAGCCCTCTGGAGAACCTTGAGAATGTGTTTGGGACGTTTGCATGGTATATTCGTGAAGTCAGTCATTAACACTGAAGTGTTCGTGTGCATCAAAGCATAGCTAGCGCCAAGTGTCATAAGCCACTAGACTGAGAGAAGGGCAAACATTGTGTGCACTTGCATCGCTAGCTCTCCCCCTCACCTGGACTTACTTTTTTTGTTTGTTTACAGCGTGTGAAGCAGCAAATCGTGAAGGAATACGAGGAAAGCAAGCGTGACCAACGGTATCAGCAGGCTCGGCGAAAGTTTCAGTACCTGCACGACAAGCTCGCACACATCAAACGCATGGTGATGGACTATGACTCGCGCTCCCACAACCTCTTCAAGTCCTAACACAACTGCTTGCCACGTCCTTAGATGCCTCCATGTTCAGTTTAGAGTTTGAAGAAGTCCTCCCATTCCTGCTCCCCATTTTCCCCGCTGTTGTTCCCCTGTGAAGACAAATTCATTGTCACAGACACCAAGCCATTCCCACAGCCAACCTGCATTTCATCAGTTGCCAAGTGGTGCAGCCCTTTGTCCCCCTTGCATTTTTAGTTCTCCTTTTTTATTTATTGAAAACCTTGGCCAGTGCAATTAGCCAATGGGCATCCACTTTGGCATACCGGTGGCTATGCTTGCTTTCTGGAGCCTTTGCTTTTACAGATGAGTTGCATACACAGTAAGCTGGTGGCTTCCGGGTGTGTCCTCGTGGGGCTTAGTTACGCTCTCTCTCTCCAAAGCTGTGATCAGCTGGATATGTGATGAAATCGGCGTAGGTATTTAGATGCCAGTAAAGTTGGCAGATGCATGGTGCAATTTCTATGCAGCTCCCACTTGCTACCTGAAGAAAGCCATCCTTCTTGCTTTTCATGCATGCTACAAGCTGCTGAAGCTTATTGTTTGACCTGCTCAGTACAAGCGCACGGCTCCTGGTCTCTGAATAGGAGGCCCCATTTCCTTCCTTTCTCCAGGGAGTGGGGACACCATGCTCAGCGACCAAGCAACAGAAGTGGCAACTATTCTGCAGCCAAAACAGCAGTGTTGGATCTTTTCCCTTCCCCACATTGCTGGCTGCTTGTCTGCTGTGGGAATGGAAACATTAGTGTCATGTTTTTTTTTTTTTTTCCCCATGCCGCCATTTGTGCTTTCTCCGGGTGTGTGCGAGGGGTGCTTGGCCTTACATTCCAGCTTGGACGGTCACTCCTCTCCCCATCCCACCATATCTTCTCCCTGTGGTCTCATCCCCCTCCTCCACTCCTCCCAAATTTCGTTCACCTAGGCTTTTATTTTCTTCTCCAACCCTGTGTGCATTTCCCCTGTACAGGACATATGTGGGCACCATAGGTGGCCTGCCCTCCTTCACCCCAGCCCTCTTTGTTTTTGTAAACACAAGAGATTAGCTTTCCGTCTCTCCATTCCCGTTTTTCTCCTCCTCCCGAGACCTCATTGGCTGACCTCTGAGAGAGCAAGAGGAAAGCGTGACGGCATACACCAAGATAGGCTATTTATGTTGACGACCGGATGACGGATCACTCCACTACGCAACGAAGACAGATATGCACTTGTGTTTTGTTTGCCGCCTTCCAGTTATTTTTTATTACCTCTTTGCCAACTGCTCCTTTTTTTTTTTCATTTTTCCTTCTCTCTGGTGTGTTCCTGCTATTATGTGTATGTATGTATGTACTTGCGCGACTCAAATTGCGGTGGATGGATTTAATCAGATGGCAGCGCCGTTCTGTTCTATCTATTTTTTTTTTTGCCTTTTTTTGGGAAGGCGCCCTCTGGCATTTGTGTTGCACCCACTCGAGAAATGGGCCACAAAAGCGCACTTTTCGTCAGAAATGTTGCTTTAAAGGGAAAAAAAAAAAAATAGGCCCACACAAAGGAGGATATTCCAACGGGACTCACGTCAGGCCAGGTGCAGCGCTTTGGCTCACATACCAGCCTCTCTGTTGTGTCGTCCGCTATTTTTTTATGTACTATATTTAAAAAAAGTGTACTCAGATAAACAAGAAAAAAAAAGGTTTACAAATGCAAAACTAAAAAAAAAATATTTTTGGGGAGGGGTTCGATTTGCATCCTCTAAGCAGCCTGTTTGCCGTGCATTGTAGTTCTTTGTGTACAGCCAAGCATTCTAAGAACACTAAAGAGAGTATTAAAGAAAAAATATATATTGAAGTTGGATACAAAAATCCTCGATGCGCAGCATTGCAGAGCGAATGAAGGCTTGCAGGGAGTCGCGTTTTGCTCATGAGAGTATTAGGCGTCTTAACAATCGTCTTGCAGTAAAGTGAGACATTCAGGGTGCGACTGCGCATCACAAATAATCAGTATATGCATCATCGTAAGACGGAAGCTGATTACTGTGCAGCAATTTGCGCTGACAAACGTTCCTCTTTATGTAAACGTCGGCGCGTACTTAACATGCCCAGCCCACAAATGCCTGGAAACTGGTCTGTTGATTCCTGAGGGATGGGCCCAAGCATTGGCAAGCTTGCAGCACATATTTGCAGCCGTGTACATGGCGGGTTGGGGCAGATGCATTTCAGACTGTGATGGATGCATGCGTTTTACGAGTTGCTGCCAAACGTTTTACACAGTTGAAGTGCCATTGAACGAGTCTTTTGAGCAAGAGTGCTTACACATACGTACATGAAACATGTTACATGCAAGTCGTGATGTTTAAATAACAGGCCCTTTGCATGCAAACTGGTTGGTGGGTTACTGCAGCCCTGCTTTTTGAATGTGTGGCATTCAGAGAAATATATCAAACTTCAGCATTGACATACGCACGTGTCTTGTCTTTTTCTTCTTACATTGCTGGCCTGTATTTGTGGCTGGCCATTCGGTCCACAATTGTGCCATGTTGGCCTTTGTAAGTGGTTTGCAACATTAGCGCTACTGTTTGCTATCGCCTGTCTGGAAAATGTGTGGTGCAATTCGCAACCAGCCATCGCAGTGAAAAAAGGAGCCACTGCTAAAGGCATCATCATCATCAGCCTGGCTACGCCTACTGCAGGGCAAAGGCCTCTCCTATGATCCGCCTATCAACCCGGTCTTGTGCTTTCCGTTGCCATGTTATACCTGCGAACTTTTTAACCTCATCAGCCCACCTAACTTTGTCTACACTATGTATGTTCGCCTTCTCTGGGAATCAAGTCGGTTACCCTGAACGACCAGCGGTTATCCTGCCTACGGACTACATGCCCAGCCCATGTTCATTTCTTCTTGATTTCAACTATTATATCCTTGACCCCAGTTTGTTTCATGACCCGCTCTGCACTATTCTTGTCTCTCAAGGTTACATCTATCATTTTCCTTTCCATCACTTGCTGCATCGTCCTCAATATAAGCTCAAGCCTCTTTGTGTGCCTCCAGGTTTCTGCTCTGTAGATAAGTACCGGCAAGATGCAGCTGTTATATACCTTCTTCTTGAGGGTTAGTGGCAGATTACCATTCATGATATAAGGATGCTTGCAGAATGTGATCCACCCCATCCTTATTATTCTAGTTATTTCACTCTTATGGCTCAGCTTCTCGGTTACTACCAGTCCTAAGTAGACATATTCCTTTACAACTTGCAGTGTCTCTCCACCCATTGCTAAGTGCTGTTTTCTACCGAGACAGTTGCACATTACTTTAGTTTTGTGCATATTTTCAGACCTACTCTTCTGCTTTTCGTGTAATCATGATTTGCAATTTCTCCCTGGGTTACTCATCAAGCCAATGTCATCAGGAAATCGCAGGTTATCAAGATACTCTCCATTAACTCTTATCCCTAACCTTTCCCAATCAAGGGTCTTGAAAACCTTCTGCAAACGTGCGGTGAATAGCATTGGAGAGATCGTGTCTCCCTGCCTGATACCCTTCTTTATTGGGATTCTGTCGCTTTCTTTATGGATAACTATGGTGGCTGTGGATCCATTGTAGATTTCTTACAGTATGTTTATGTAGGGTTCATTAATGCCCCGATTCCGTAGTGCTGCTGATGTCTCCACTGAGTCGAACGCCTTCTCGTAATCTATGAAGGTTATGAAGGAGTTGGTTGTATTCCGAGCATTTCTCTATTACCTGATTGATAGTATGAATATAGTCTATTGTGGAGTAGTCTGTACTAAATCCTGCTTGGTGCTTTGGTTGATTCAGCTCTAATGCCGCCATGAATCTATTAATAGTTATTTTTGCTGAATGAATCAAATGGTCAATGAAGTTCCAATTTTGTACCGCTTATTGCAGTTATTGCAGGGGTTTCACACCCAAAAGCAATACGTGGTTGAGGCTCCAGAAATTTCGGCCACCAGGGGTTCTTTAACCTAAATCAACGTACGCAGGCCTCGGGTATTTTCGGCTTCACCGAAGATGCGGCATCTACACCTGCGCCTCCGTCTTGCGACTTTCGTGTCGGCAGTCAAGTACCACAACTAGACCACCGTGGCCGGTGGCAGAAAATGTAGGAGTCTCTGAGATAACGGGAAAATATAATTGTATTGGAATACCTGGTCCAAGCCTTTGGAGCAGGTATTCAAACTGTGCTGCGTGTCTGTGGTACTCCATGGAAAATAAGGTCATGCAGCGTTCGCCTTCTAAAAAAAGAAATAAATATTAATGGTTTATAGTGCATATTTGTTGAAGGCTGCGACGAGACACTATACATGATTCTTCCGAATCCGAGAATCAGTCACTTTGCTCTAGGACAATGTTTGTCCAAGGCAACTTGAACAGCCGCGATGCTCCCGAGCAGGGACTCGAGTTCTGGCTTGCCCATCTGGAACTGCAGCTCTCCCAAAGATACTTGTGCCGTGGGACCTTCAAGATCCACCCTCCACGAACAAGATGCTAGCCCCGGATTCCACCGACTCTGGGCCACAACACTGGCCCGGACGCGCGCGCGGTGGTTTCTCCAGAACCGAGAAGTGCACTCCGCTTGCTCCCCAGTAAGACCACCTTCCTGTCGCTTGGTCTGCGATGTCAGGAACGCTTCCAGCTGTGTCCAGTCCATGTTTGAAGCAGCAAGTGTCTGAAATAAACCGTTTGGCGTGGTTGGGAAACCTCACGGTTGAAGACGCAAGCACTTTGACAGCTGTTGTTACCACCGTTCGTAACGCTCTCAATTAAATCTAAAGGTGTTTGTTACATTATGTTCTTACATAGCCCTCTTGAAGTTACAACAAATAACGCTGTGCATTTTTTTTTTCTTAACCGATGAGGAAAGGTATTGAAAAGTTACCTTCAGCACTGTCGTTGCTTTGGCAACCAACTTGGAAAAGTGTTCATCTGAGAGTGAAGGATACAGTTCGTTTTTTAACAAGTCGTCTGTCACATCAGGATTGCCGTAGAACAATCGCTGGGCTAGGCCACTTAGCAGGCCGAAAAATGCCTCGTTACTCATAACTAATTTCTTCAATGAATATCCTCCCACTATGCTCCCGCTCGACGCAGCGCTACGCCCAATGGTTTCGCCGGCCCAATTTCAGAATTGAGTGCTGGCTACTGTCGTCTACTACGGAGCTGTTGTCAACTAATAGCAGCAGTTTCGAACCTTACCAACGTCTCCTGGCCGCGTCTGCTGCCACCGGGTGGCACGAACCTTTTCGAGGCAAAAGCGTTCGGTTCACCCAATAACCTCTTAAAACCGGCTTGACTTGGCTGAAAACGTATGAATAGATGGCGACAAAATCGCGGTGTTGGACATTTTTTTGGGGACGTTTAGGTGGTGGGAACGAAAGGTCTAAGGTTCCTCTCTAGCTTGTGAGGATCTTTACCGTGCGGTGGTTATTTATCCGTGGTCTTTGCTTGGCCGGGAGCCTCATGATTCGCGAGAACCGCCTCTGCGCATGGATACGTGGTCTCGTTCTGTAATACTGTCTATAAGCAATGTGATAACGACTTGCCCGATCATGAACACCGTGTGTTATGCTATTTGTGGATGTATGCCGTACGTGTATGTCTGGTAAGTGCGTGTGTAGCGTAAGGATCGATGTGTCGCTTCGGTGAAGTGTATGCTTGTGCCAAAACTTTCATTGAAGCTTCTTCTTGCGTAACTGCGTGAGACAGATACAAAATGCACAAGTTGGAAGCGATGGAATATTACCAGGCGTTCACACGACGTTATTTTCCCAGTGGCTTAAATATGTTGTCGCCGAATACGATAATCGGTTTTCTAAGCTATGTCTTTTCTTGTGGGTGTATACAAAGAAAAAAAAAAGAAATCAAGTTGAAGATATGCTGGGAGCACTATAAATATTCGCTCAAAATTGCCACCTTAAGCGTCTTCTTAAAACAGTGCCGCAAGGCAGTCATGCCTTGCGGTGAAGTGCACGCTGTGTATTGCGGTAAAGCATACATATTGCGCGTGCACGTGTTTAAATTGGAAATGTAGCACTGACATTGGGCCTCGTGTGTGCACCTAAATTGTTCACGCGCTATCCTCTGCCTCATCAGTGACGATGCGGCAGTCAGTATCGTCATCATCTTCAGCTTGTGTAACAAGCACAGAACAATTTACTTAGTAAAATATATTTTGTGGCAGGCAATTCGCAAGGCATTCAGATGTTAGTTCATTGCAGGATTAATTCAAGATTGTTAAATGGCACGTTCAAATAAACGAAACATGCATATGAGAGGCTTCAGTCGTACTTCAAAATTTGTGCCATGCCTCAAATTGAAAATGATTATAAAGGAAATGTATGCTAAGGCTGGGTGTAGATTACCATTCACAATTCAATTACCATTCATATTTTAGAAACTTAGAAAATTTGTAGCTCATGTTTTCCTATCGAGTAAGCACAAAAATAACTGTTGAACAATGGTCTACAATTACTCACACAGTTTGCAAGAAATAGATCTTTGAAACGTATGTCGTGCCAGAACTAAGTGCAAGGTGGTTAGAGGAAACTGGTTATGACCCGACATAATAGCGCATGTTCGGACGTTTTACATGGGCTGCTTGTTGGCAAAATGGGGTGAGAATTAGGTAAGTGCCTGCAGGGATCTGCACCAAGAGACGAAATCTGCTACATCTTTTTCATAAATTTCATTATTTGTGTCAAGCATGCGTGCACTCTTCGTTGTTGTGTTCTCTTAGGGAGCAAGTATATGGCATACGCTTGAAATCCATACGTTACCCCTGCGATTTGAAGATGTTATCACAGTAAACATGAACGTGCAATGTAGTTGAAAACGTTGCTGGGCACCAACTTTCTTAACAATCTGAACCCGCTTATACTACAAACGTTACCACGTGACTTCAGCCAAATAGTTTCTAACTGTTGTGGTTACTGTCAGATAAAAGTAATAATGAGCTAGTTGTGCTTGGACAACAGTCTTGCTTTACTGTATTAAAATACAGTAATTTAGTACCTGCATATAGAACTGACCACTTAGTTATTTTTTTTTATTTGTGGTCCTATTTGTTACAGTTTACTTCCAAAATATTTCATACAAGGTGGTTGAGTTTTAAGTCCATACAGTGGGCAAATTTATCAGCAGTACCGCATGCTGTACAATCACTTTTACTTCTCCTAGAAAGCATGGTGTGCCACTATTCCGGTATGTCTCGGCTGGGCTTCTCGACCTCGACGACTGTACATGTCAAACAGTTTGCCAAGTGTAACTACTTACTCCCCCATAACTCTAAATTTTGTCGAGCCATAATAAATAATTGGCAGTAAGGACCAGTTACAAAACCCTTTTTTTATGAAGTGCTCATTAATCGGGGACCTAACAATTCTGTACATAAACGATGACAGCGACCACTTCTCCACAGATTGAACGATTAGGTTGTACTAATAAAAGCATTAATATAATCAGACTCTTTTTTTTTGGAAAGTAAATACAATGCATAAATAGTCTTACCAGTCTGTGATTCAATATTGTAGCTAAACTATCGTTGAAAGCCAGAGTCATTTACAAATGCCATGTGAATTCCCGGAAAGTTCTAGGTAGCTTTATATAAATTGGGGATGTCTGCAAAAAAGCAAAAAGCCTACGTTTATGTTGAGCAGAAGTCCAAGTGAACATGCATGCATATGTTCATGAACTAGTTCCCTGTAACATGTGGTGCAACAACTCTAGCTTAAAAGCTTCAGGCAGCTTTTAAGCTGCTCCAAAAAGATTTTAGTTGCACCAGAAGCTCCGGATATGCCTTTCATGAGTCACGTCACTGTGCCTGTTGAGTCTTTAAAAAAACAGGTTTGAAGGGGATGCTAAAAATTTTTTTTGAAGGGGTGAGTAGCAGAGAGCATTGATTTATTAAAGTCTTCAATTTTATTATGTTAGGTCTGAGGCTTGCAGGTATGTTAAATGAGCATGGTCATATGAGTAACACCTCATAGGTCAATAATTTTTGGGTTGACAGCAAGGTATGAAGAGACAGGATTATGAAAATTGCAGAAGTAGAAGTAATGAAGTTGTTGAGAAGACTTTGTTAACAGTACAATTACAGGCTTCACGCACAATTTGCTTTCCAGCACGGTGAATTTACTTTTGCTGATGCTTCCGATGGCATCATTGCACTTCATAAGTACTGGTTTTATGCACTGCACGTGACGATCTTGTTTTTTCAAGGTTTATGTACTGATTAAAAAGTATAGGATCAAGAAACTTACATGCTGTCTTAAGGCATAATCAGGCTCACCATAGAGGTAATTGGTGACATTTTAGTGAGTTGTATGTGGGAGGTCTGTGTACATAACATCATAGTAATCTTGCAATGCTGTAGCTTTATTTGTGTAACGAGTGAAGCTACTTTTCCTGTTAAGAATTTCTGCCAAGCAAACAAGTTCCAACAGTAGGATTTGCCCTTGGGTAAAGCAGGTGGTAAGAGTGAGCTTGAACAGGTGTGCAACAAGAATTCGCCAGTGTAGAGAACACAAGAGAAGTGGTCACTGCTTGCATGTTCAAGGTCGTATACACGCACACCGGACTATGATTTTGCAGTGTCTTACATTTTGAGTGGAGTATACATCGTGATGGCGGGAGCCATCTCTGTGGTCACCAGCTAGACTGTCACAATGTGCATATTGTTGCTTCAGACAACTGTTTAGGACAAAAAAAGGGCACCGTAGAAAAAAAACAATTTTTAGGCTAATGTAAGAGCTTGTGGTGAGGAGACTCTCAAAAGGTATATGGTGTGTCATCTTGCAATAGAGAAGCAACATTTATACCTAGTTTATGTTAGTAGGAGTCTACTAAAAATTGGCCATACAAGCTTGTGGCTAGAGAAGGAAGATGTCCAGAAGATGCCCTCCTGAAATGTTAACCTGCACCGTCCTCCCTTGCCCTTCTTGGTGCACTGGAATTTTTGCCCTATAGGTACTAATTCCTTCAGTGGGTACTCTTGAAGGGCTTCTGAATAAGCTCACTCTTACCACCTGCTTTACCCAAGGGCAAATCCTACTGTAGAAACTTGTTTGCTTGGCAGAAATTTTTAACAGGAAAAGAAGCTTCACTCGTTACACAAATAAAGCTACAGCATTGCAAGATTACTATGATGTTATGTACACAGACCTCCCACATACAACTAACTAAAATCTCACCACTTACCTCTATGGTGAGCCTGATTATGCCTTAAGACAGCATGTAAGTTTATTGATCCTATACTTTTTAATCAGTACATGAACCTTGAAAAAACAAGATCATCACGTGCAGTCCGTAAAACCAGTGCTTATGAAGTGCAATGATGCCACCGGAAGCATCAGCAAAAGTAAATTCACCCTGCTAGAAAGCAAATTCTTCGTGAAGCCTGTAAATGTACTGTTAACAAAGTCTTCTCGACAACTTCATTATGTCTACTTCTGCAATTTGCATAATCCTGTTTCATACATACCTTGCTGTTCACCCTATAATTATTGACCTATAAGGTGTTACTCATGTGACCATGCTCATTTAACATACCTGCAAGCCTCAGAGCTAACATAATAAAATTGAAGACTTTAATAAATTAATGCTCTCTGCTACTCACCCCTTCAAAAAAAGTTTTTAGCATCCCCTGAAAACTTATTCTTTAAAAATTTGATCATCAGAGATGCGATGTATCTCCACACCTGATGACAGACATTTGTCCAATTACAGCCACATTATAACAACAAGCAGCCTTTGTAAGATGCGTGAACACGTGCCATCATCCCAGGTCAACATGTTTCCTGAAACAAGCTTGCTCTTAGTTATGCGACAGAATGATTTTCATAAATCATTTTCTTGCTAAGCTCAACTTGCCCCATGACAAACTGTGTGTTTAATTTTAGACCATTCTTGGGGAGCTATTTTTCTTAATAACTAAAGAAAGCCCGATAAAGTGAAGCATGAGCTTTTAAAAGGAAATTTGCAAAACATGCACAATCGTCTCCAATACCTAGCCTTAGTATATATTTCACTAATAATGATCATTTTCATTTTAGAGCACATATCTGATGGCACAAAATCTGTAGTACCAAGGAGTCTGTCACAGGTATCTTTCACTTCTTTATTAGGGGTCATGCAACAATTTTAAATTATTCATGCGATATACTAGAAGTTTACTGCAGTGTGAATCACTTGCCACAATTAAAAAAATAATTATGGGGGGAACATATGGACTCTTTACAAAGGTTGAAGTTGGTGCTGATGCCGTCTGTCGCATGACCAGTAATGAGACAAAGCACGGCGCATCGCATTAGGCCTCATAGCAGTGCTACGTTTCCATTTCACACACACACGCGCGCGCATAATGTATGCTTTACTGCAATACACTGCAAGCACTTCACCCCATGACACTAGTGTATTGCGGCAATGTTAACTTTTAAAAAGACCTTTACGGGTTAGCAATTGAAGCTCGACAATGCTCCCAGCAATGAAATTTCTATTTTATTACATTTTAGATGCGGAGCATCTTATACTCGCGCTTTGTAGTGCGCCGTCCGCACCGCTTCTCGAACATTCGACAGCTGACGCGCGCGCATGCGCCGTCGCCCACTCTTCCACCATCTGTGCATCCCTTCCTCCTCTACACACCGCGCGTGCTTCACTCCTCACCATCTGTGCACCCTTCCTCCTCTACACACCGCGTTCGACATCTACAATTCTCCTGATTCTCCAGTGGACGCGCATGTGGCGTCGCGCTTCGAGAACATTCAACAGCTGACAGTGCATGCGCCGTCGAGCTGTATATATACTCAAGGTCGGCGCTCGCTCGCTCAGTTGCCGCTCGTCGGTTGGTTTGTACGGCGCGTCGACGTCCAAGGTCGCGGTGAAATGAATTCCAACGAATCCACAAACACAATGATCGACGTCCCTTCGACCAGCGCCGCCCTTTCGCATACGTGTGTACGTGTTCACTCATTTAACACCCCCTCCTACAACCACGTTAACCAATTTAGCCATCGACCCAAGTAAGTCGCACTTTAACACCCCGTTAACCAATTATATGCTCCGCATCCTCCTCAGTGTTCCCCCGAGGGAAGCTGCGGGCAATTTTTTTTTTTTCATTGTTATACACTTGCCTAAACTAGTGTTACCAGCCGTCCCGAATTTCGCAGTCGAATTCCGAATTTCGCAGTCGGGACAAATGTCCCCGTTTTTTTCCGGACTGTTCAGTAAATGAAAAAAAAAAAAAGAAACGTTTTGCGTTATAAAAGGCATGCCAAGTAACGAGCGTCCGTCTGATCACATAGACAAAGAAATGTTGCTGTGGTTAGCTGCAAGGAACTTTAAACACTTCAGCTGAACTTTAGCGTCAACTTTTACTAGAGCATTCTAGAGCGAGAGGAAGTGTCACGAAGAGCACATAGCAAAATTTAGTGCCACATCAAGAGACCGACGCAATGAAGAGAAGAAATAACGGATTTGTTTGGAAGGCACCGCAACAAAGAAAACTAATTTCCTCACCCACACACAACTACCTTCACTATTGGTTACCCCAATCTAAACACACACTGCTAAGCAAACAAATTGCCATCATCTGCGACTGCTTAATAAAGCCACTCGGACAAGAACGTTCTCTAATTCCAACTTGTGCATTCCGTATCTATCTCTCGCATTTACGCAAGAACAAGCTTCAATGAAAGCGTTGGCACAGTATATACTTCCTCCCAAGTGACACCAGCTGTTTGATCGGTCCTCAAGCAACACGCATGCACCTACCATACATCCGCGTAGTACATGCATCAGACAAATATTCACAAATCGCGTTCCAAAGGCCTTTATTTTATGCTCGTTGTCATTGCTTGTAGATTTGGTGGCAAACACTTCGGGCTGGTAGGTGTTAATTCTGTGCTTCGGGCGAATGACGTTAACTACTCGATAAGCACGGCGACATCACAGGAATTAAGAAAAGCGGCAGCGACTTGCGTATGAATCACTTTCTAACAACAGAAAGCGACCACGACCCCACGGGCAGAGGCGCTTCTCGCCATTTCAAACAGATTACAGTCCAATCCAACACCAACATCGGAGAAAAAAACATCACGACTAGAATACGATGAACCCGCCACAGACTGTGTGTCACAAGCTAGTGAGGAACTCTACCCGAACCACAGAATAAAGAACGCCCAAATCGCCTGAAAAGTGTTTTTTAACACACCGATTCTAACGCCATCTATTCATACACTTTAAGCCAAGTCAAGCCGGTTTTAAGCGGCTATTGGGTGAATCGAACCGTTTTGCCTCGAAAAGGTTCGTGCCACCGGGGGAACCGAAACACTTCCTATATTTTGTTTACAAGTACGGCACTGCGCCCACTTATTTACAAGCTTTTTTTTTATCATAGCCTCCTAGATTTCTCTTGCCTGCCGGATTATCGGCGGTCACTTGGAAAGCGGCCGTCATCAGAACTATGGTGATGACTAAACCTATGTAGGGGGTGTTTTAAAATGCAATTTTACGTTTTTGGAACTTATAAGCAACAAAATTAGCGTAAAATTTTTTAAAAGGCGTAAACGTAATTAAGATTAACCCTACGCAAGTGACGCCGTCATTCAACTTGCAACTCCTTCGATACAAGGCATAGCCTCTGAAACTAGTAGTAAACGCCAAAAATGCCAATCTTAAAGGCCAAGCACAAAAACTCTTATTTCTACGTAGGCAGCGCCGCCATAGGTGATCAAAGTTTCGCGCTTATCCGACAGGCAAAAGAAATCTAGAAGGCTATGGTTTTATACGCGTCACTATCGTTTCTTGAAAGTGGCGCCTAAACTTGCTGAACCGGCGAATGTGAATATTGTGAATACTGCGCACTTATAATGTGAAATGAATAGCAACGTGTGTATTGGTGCATCCGCATGATATGCGCACCCATTCTTTAATACTGCTTAGTGTAGAGTGAATCTTTTTCAGTTGATGAATTTAAGTCTAGAGGTTTCCCCCGGTAGTTGACTGCAGAAATGGAATTCAACCACCCAGACTCTCTGACAGCGCTTTCAGCAATAAGAGAAATACAAGAAGGCTCAACACAAGTGACTGAACCCCGCGATGAACAAACGTCTCGCTACAGAAAGATTTTGGACAGCATTCTTACTTCTTTATTGAACGATACCGAAAAAGGTGAGCTCGCTATGTGAAACTTGTTGAAGTACAGCGCTTCGTACGCGTGGATTAAGTGCCCTTTCCTTAGTGAAATCTTTTCACATTTGAGAGTACTTATAGATGCACCAACGGACACCCGTGCCTAAGTTCGGACAGCCGTGCCTAACTTCGCTGGTTAAATTTCCGGCCGCAGTGCCCGCATTCTGTTGCCGTCTACACCCGAAAGCATTGAAGCTCGGGGTTTTATCAACTAATCATCATCATTTATTATCCCTTAAGGGCCCCTGACGGGGCATTACATAAAGGGGGGGGGGGGAGTAGCCAAATATGCATACAAGGTCACAATTACAAAGAAAAAGAGCCAGGTTAGCTCTGTACACTGCTACAAAACCGGAAGTCGTAACAAACAAAAATACACATGCTAAGTGTTCCTGCATGAGTTCAAAATGTATTGGTGTTGTGGTTCTACAAGCACAAAACAAAGGAAAAAAAAATGATAAACATCATATTAAGTGTTTACAATATGATAGGTGAACTGGTTTTGAAAGAAAAGTTCTTACACATTCTTACGGAGCCTCAGACCATGAAATCGTATTACTTTGCAGGCACGTTATTAAGGAAAAAAATGAAAATGAAGAGGTACAGGGCAAAATAATTGTACACCAGGAAAAAGGAACAGCTCGTAGAGAGGTTCCAGTTTCATGTTTGAGTTAGTGAAGAAGTCATGTGCTTTATTTTGACAAGTGAGCTAGCACCAACTGCCTAAATTTTGAACTGTCACGCTGATGGACAAATGATTCGGGAAGCATGTTCCACTCTTCTATGGCCAAGGGTAAGAAAGACTTGTTAAATGCGGTTGTAGAGCCAGTTATACACTGCACACTCATGGAATTGAAAAGTTGACGTGATGTTCGCAAAGGTGGTATCAAAATCGATGTTCGAGTGTCCGGATGATTATGATACAGGTTATAAAAAAGTGCTAGATACAGCGTTTTTCTACGTTGGGCTAAGGAGCCAAGACCGAGGGATGATTTGATGGCACTAACGCTGACCCAACTACTATATTGACCCAACTACTGTGCATGGCAGCAGCGCACTAGGCGCTTCCAGCAAAATGCTAAGCCCCTTCTGCTTTATCGTTCAGGTCAGTAGATACTTGCCTACCCATTGCTTCAGAAGCGATAACCGCTTTTTGCTGCTACTGCCATGCCCACCGATTATTCAAAAATTTGTTATAGATATTTACACATTTAAAGTTAGCCTTTTGTCATGTGGTGACGTTGAACCTAACCCTGGCCTGACAGAAAAGGAATTGTTGATGCAGTTACTTTCAGGTCAATCTAACATTTTAGCTAAACAGGGTCAAATTGAAACCTACATTATCAAATTAAATGACCGTATTGGAAATTAGGAACATCAACTAGCCCCATTACTTTCACTTAAAAATGAAGTAGACGAAAGGAAAAAAACAGTTGCTAAACTTAAAGAAGCTATAGATCTTGCAGCGCAAAGAAATGGAGAACTTGAAAATAGGAGCAGGAGAAATAATGTAGTTATATATGGCATTGAAGTTCCGTCTCTGAAACTACTGAAAGTCTAACAACTACTATAAAAGAAAACTTGTTCTTACAAAAACTTGGAATTACTGTAAATGGCATAGAGCGATGCCACAGATTGGATAAAAAAACTGCTAGAAATTGTCCTGTGACTATAAGGTTGTTGGATTATCGCGAGAAAACGTCAATACTTAAAGCATGTTTCAAGCTAAAGGGATCTCCTGTTTCGGTCACTGAGGACTTTTCTGCCGGTATTAGAGAAACCAGGAAGAAATTGTGGCAAACGGCAACGCATGAAAAGGCAAATGGTTCAAAAGTAAAGCTTGTATATGATAAGCTGTATGTAGACGACATTTTGTATGGTTGGGATGAAACCAACAATAAAAGGTATAAAATTTCAAAGCGTAACAAATGACACCAGAAAGCAAGTACCCGTAATCTATCTATCCTTAATGTAAATTGCCGTAGCATTGTTAATAAACCTGTCCTGCTTGAAGCCCTGTTTCTTACTCATGAACCAGACATTGCTGTGCTTACAGAGACTTGGTTAAACGATGAGGTATCCGACAGCGAATTTGTTCCGAAAAACTACGTCTGCTTTCGTAAAGACCGGAACAGGAGAGGTGGCGGGGTTGCTATATTATTTAGAGCATATTTACAACTCGTTAGAATGCCTAATATTGCAGGTGTTGAAAGCATTTTTTGCACTACATATATAAATAAAATGCGATACATTCTCGGAGCTATTTATAGGCCTCCTGACTCCTCTGTCTCGGTTCTAGAAAATCTTGATGATTACATGTGCTCTTATACAAAACCAAATGACAGGTTGATTCTTGCGGGCGATTTCAATTTTCCGAGTATAAATTTGAATACTTTTTCCACACAGTCTTCAGATCTAAGTGACATTAAAATACTAGACATGATTTTTAATCATGATTTGCTACAGATTGTATCTCAACCTACTAGAATTCAAAGTGCAATTTCAATCCTAGATCTCTTCTTTGTTAGCAGTACTGTAAAAAATCATGTATTGTGTGATGTTGTACCAGGAATATCTGATCATGAAGCTGTCATATTAACCTTAACTGATGCTTCGTATGTTGATTCCACTGTCAAGTGCCAGTACCCGAACTTTTCTCACGCTGATGATGAGTCAATCCTCGATTTTCTGGATCTCTCCTTCAATGCTTTCTCAGAAAACACCAGCAATATAAACGATCTATGGCTAACTTTCAAAGACATTGTCCAGGAACGTATAGCACGCTATGTACCACTAATAACTAAAAAATCAGCTGGTAAAAATGCTTGGATCACTCCACAAACTCTCCAGCTACAACGAAAACTTAGGAGACTAAAAAAGCAAAAGGCCTGAAATTCGGTTTGTCCTCTACTTGACGAAGCCATTGCTACATTAGCAACAAAACTAAAACTACAAACTCAGGAGGACAAGGCAAGGTACTATGGTATATCACTTCCTTCCTTTATTGAGACGTCTCCAGAAAAGTTTTGGAGGTCTATTAAACCGAGCTCATGTGGCACTACTTCATTTTCTCTTAAATGGAAAAGTCATAAGTGATGACTCAGCGGCGTCCAATGCCTTCAATAATCATTTTAAATCTGTATTTACAACAGATAATAATTTCCTTCCAGTGCTTAGTATGTCTTTTCCACCTATGCCGAATGTAAAAATTTTCGAGCAGGGCAATATTAACCTTCTGCTTAATATAGATGCTAAAAAATCTCCTGGCCCGGACGATATCCCAAACGCCTTCTTAAAAAGATATGCAGAGTGGTGTGCAAAGTATTTGCTCATACTATTTAAAAAATCTCTGAGTGACGGCGCATTGCCGGAGGACTGGAAAACCGCCAGAGTCAAACCACTGTTTAAATCTGGTGATAAATCTAACATTGCAAATTATTGGCCTATTTCGTTGACATCTACTTCATGCAAAATCTTCGAGCACATAATTTATAAGCACATAGTAGATTTCCCTTAAAAGCATGAAGTCCTAACAGATGCACAACATGGCTTCAGACGTGGGTATTCTACTAACACACAATTACTTAGAATTGCACATGACTTCGTGGAGGCTATAAACAAAGGAAAACAAACAGATGCTATTCATATGGATTTTAGTAAGGCGTTTGATAAAGTGTCTCATAATAAATTACTTCACAAGTTGGGCCTTATTGTAACAAATCATACGATATTAGCATGGATTAAAGCTTACTTGTCAAATCGGTATCAATACGTTTCCCTAAATAGCACCTGCTCCAACCGAGTTGAAGTTGCTTCTGGCGTACCTCAGAGGTCCGTGCTTGGGCCTCTGTTATTTTTAATTTTTATAAATGACATCGCCACGGACATTAATGTTAAGATTAAACTCTATGCAGACGACTGCGTGATTTATGAAACAGTCAATTCAATTCAGGACCAGATTAGGTTAAATGAAAACTTCCAAAAAATCATTTCATGGTGCGAACAGTGGCAGATGACTATTAATTACGACAAAACGATCTTTATGCGAATAACCCACAAAAAGAAGCCACTTTTATTTCACTACGGAGCTAATGGAATAGGCCTCTCGGAGGTTGCTGAATATAAATACCTGGGTTTATGGTTCACAAATAATCTATCATGGTCAAAACATATAGATGTCATCACAAATAAAGCATTACGTAAATTATTCTTCTTGCGACGATCCTTAAAATTGGCAACTCCTTCTGTACGTTTCCTTGCATACCTGTCAATTATATGTCCCATGCTTGAATATGCCGTGCCAATTTGGGACCCTTACACCAAAACAAACAGCAAATTAGAAAGAATACAGAAAAAAGTAGTGTGTTATATTTATAATTCTTATGGTTGTTCATTAGTTACTGAGGTCATCAAACGAATTGGGGTCCCCACAGTCATGAAGAGAAATAAAATTTGTCGGCTGAAACTTTTGTACCAAATAGTTAAAGGACATTACAACATAGATACCTCCCGCATCACTTTTTCTGAGGGTTATGCTACTAGGCAAAGACACTCTTTAATGATAGCTCCTTTATTTCCACGAAATAATTGCTTTAAATACTCTTTCTTCTGTAGAACTATTGCTGATTGGAACAACCTAACTAATAACATTGTAACACAAGAATCACTTTCATTGTTTGAAAAATGCTTAGAGTAGTTCTTTAGTACCATTGATTATATCTTTTGTTGCATTTGTTCCTTTTTGTGTGTCACTTGTAAAATTCGATTATCAGTTAAACAGAATCTTTTTTCCAGCGATGTATCCTCTGTATATTCTATATACCCTACTTGGCATTTCACTAATTACTTCGAATTTTGTTTCGCATCCCTATTTCTGTTGCTTTAACTGTATGCATTATATTGTCCACGTTATGCATTTTCTGCGTGTATATTATTTTGCCCTTTCAGAATACTCTGTACCTCTGTCTCACACCTGCTATAGTCTCTGTTCGAGACTGCAGTATCAATAAATAATATTCAGAACTGATGAAATGGGCAGCCCTATTCTGGACGCTTTCTGATTATTCAATCAAGTAATTTTGTTGTGGGCTCCATATAGCACTGGCATATTCGAGTTTAGGTCTGACATATACCTCATAAGCAAGTTTTCTAATGGAACTCAGAGATAAAGAAAGAGAGCGTTTAATGAAACATAGTGCTTTCGATGGATCTGCTACTAATTTCGTGATGTGTTCAGACCAGTTAAACTTGAAGTGACCAGTTGAAGTGATAAGGACACCTAGATAACAGTGCGAATTGACGCATGAGAGGGTAGTAGAATATAAAGCATATGAATAATCTAGGGTGGAATGCTTTCACAACACTTGCATACTTTTGCACTTTGATACAATGAGTTTCATAAGCCATTGGGCGCACCAAGATTCTAATATATATAGATTTCTCTGCACCAACTTTTGGTCAGTGGTCGAGGTTATGCGGCGATAAAGAACGCAGTCGTCTTCAAATAGGCGAATCGTGCATGAAATACCAGTAGGAAGGTCATTAATGAAGACTAAAAATAAAAGTGGTCTGAGGACAGAGCCTTCAGGTTCGCCTGAAAAAACTTGAGATAAATCGACGTGGGCGTTGCCAATAACAGTAAACTGAGTGCGGTCTGAGAGGAAAGAAGAAATCCAGGACAGCATTAGAGGATCTTAGGATAGGGAGGAAAGTTTAACCATCATATGTTGATGTGGGACCCGATCAAAGGCTTTAGAAAAATCTAAGTAGATAATATCAGTCTGGAATAAAAAATTTAAGTTGAAGTTATGGTCAGTGGTGAATTCGTATAGCTGAGTGTCGCAAGAAAATCCAGAGTGGAAACCATGTTGCTTAGAAAAGAAAAAAGAATTTTTGTCCAGGTGAAAAGCAACTTCAGAATAAATGATATGTTCTAGCATTTTACAGGCAATGCACGTTGATGAGATTGGCCGGTAGTTTGATGGATCAGTACGATCGCCGGCTTTAAAGACTAGCATGACCTTGCTTAATTTCCAATCATCTGGAATTGAAGAAGTACATACTGAATGACTAAAAATAATTTGTAATATCTGACATGAGATGTCCCTAGTACCTTTAAGAATTTTCGTAGTTATGTTGTCAGGCCAGGGAGTACTGGATGGCTTCAAGTCATTGATAAGTTTAGCTATGCCTTCAGTTGATATGACAATAGGAGGCATCTGATTTAAATTAAGGTTGGGAAAGTGGGGTATGTTATGTGCCGGCTCGCGAGTAAAGACAGAGGTAAAGAAGTAATTCATGACATCAGCCCAATGATCAGGAGGAATGTCTGTGCCATCTTGGTCATGCAAACTGATGTTTTGTGAAGAGTGACTGCTTGGTAACACGATCTTCGAGAATTTTTTTGCGTTCTTTCTAATGATATTTTGCAAGTCTGTATGGAAGGATTTCTTCTTAGAGCGCCTTAAAAGATTTATATAAGCACGAAGACATTCAGAGTACTTCACCCATTTGGATTGGCAGTCTGAGTTTCTGGCGGCCCAGAAAAGACACTTTTTCTTATTTAGTAGTTGTCGTAGGGCACATATCTAGCAATCTCCTCTTTAGTATGTTGCGAATTACCAGTGTTACTTTGACATGTTCATACAAATGTTAATAAACCTACCAATGTTTGACTCAGTTGTGTTTTTCTTGGTGCTTTCGTAGATGCAGAGCAGACGCGTCCAGTTTTGGAACGCTTGCTTGAATGTGTACAACACTGCGCCCAAGCATTGCCTGTATTGTTCCTGCCGCAGGAAAGCAGTGAGCCAGGCTCCACTGAACAGTGTGCCTTGCGTAAGTGCTTCTTGTCTGAATGCGCATAGCTACATTTCAAGAAATTGTGACAGTACATTAAATGCAGCACTGTTTGACGCCAAAAAACTGCAATTGCATGTAAGCCATCATACGTAAGTAAAAGTTACGTTTCACATAATAACGTAATTTTTTATCATCTTCTACACAAATTGTCTAACCATCTCTTTATCAGCAACATTTGGTCTTTACTTTCCTCAATTAAAAAAAAATGTATCGTGTTGTGTTGTTCACAGAATAGGCACCGTGTATTTTGAATGTGTTATGTCATGTACTGTCACATCGTGAAAGTAGTACCGTCACGCTCAGTATGATTTGCAACATGGGAGTATGTGGCTTCGCAAGTTCTGAGATAACCCATGGCTTCCACTAGCTTTTATTTCCACGACTAAATGCTGTCCCCTCACTTGGGGATGATGCAAGCATGTGAGGCCACGTGCACTTGCATGTTGCGAGTCATAGTGAGTGCATTTGTACAAGCTGCCACGTGGCTTCACTCATCCCTCGGCACTCACTCCAGTAGCACTAATGTTTGCAGCCATATGAAGCATTTTTCACAGCTCTGAAATGCATGCATGACAGTTGGTGTCGCTCATATGCATGCATTATAAGCATCTGAATTACTCTGATTGGGAAAACTGGTACAAGAATTTTTTTTCCTTCAGCCATGTTATCGAATCCCGGCTGTGGTGGCTGTATTTCAGTGGAGGCGAAATGCTAGAGGTCCGTGTACTCGGTGATGTTCCGTACTACGCCGACGAATTATCATTTCGAGACATGAAAGTTTTTTATTTTGGGTATTTTTTTCTGCATACGCTGACAGAATTTTCAGCATATTTCATAATATTGATGATTGATATGTGGGGTGTAATGTCCCAAAACAACCATATGGTTATGAGAGAGGCCGTAGTGGAGGGCTCTGGAAATGTTGACCACCTGGGGCTCTTTAACGTGCACCCACATCTGAGCACACGGGCCTACAGCATTTCCACCTCTATTGGAACACACGCGCACACACATACACACACACATCTAAATGCATAGGTGTGACATGTTTGTGACTATTGAAATCAAGACTGGCACCTGTGCTACTGTATAAGAAAAGCATGATATTTAAACTCATGTGCTGTAAGTACATTGTAACTAGTGGGTTAGGAGTCCACACCAGCAGTGAACTAGCAGATCATTCACATAAATATCAAGCTAAACTCAAGCGCTATGCCTGCATTCTGCATGTGCCAGAACAGATTGCCGCAGCCAAACACGCACATTTACTGCAATAAATCAGTCCTCATTTGTGAATTTAACCATATCTGAAGCTCCCTGTAATATCGCAGATTGTTTTTTTTTTCCTTTCATCCAAAATTAGGGCTGAAAATTTCCTGAAGAAGGGAAAATTCCCTGCAAATGAACATCACTGCACTTACTTAGATCTACATGCACATTAAATAATACCAGATGGCCAAAATATGGGTAGTCCTCCACTATGACATTCCTCATATTCATATCATATTGTAGGGACATAAAGCAATTATTATCAAATTGTTTTTATTATTATTATATAATTGTTTTCTTCACTTCAAGGCATTATATATGAATAGTCACTGGGAAACTGCAGAAATATCAAGGTACTGGCAAGTTCTTATTGAAGATTTCTGGCGTAGAAGGCATTTTTCTTGCGCTCTCACCCAAATTTATTTTATACTATAGTAACTTGTTTATTTACAACTTTCATACATTTAAATCACTGAAACATTTTACAGTAGAAAATTTAAATCTGTCCTAAAAGCAGCTTCATTGTACATTATAAATATTCATTAGCATCACTTTATAATAACACGACTGTATATGAGAAGACCGGCTTCTGGAAATGCTCTAAGCTAAGTGGTACATATTGTGTAAATTGTAAAGGTAGGACATTAACCATCTGATATGGCAACCAATATTTCACCTTTTTTGTCCCATCACTCAGGCTTCAGCGAAAGTCTTATTGGAAGACTTCTCGTTCTCCTAAGCATACCTGGTCTTGGTGAGCTCTCCGGGCACTGCTGCCGTGTCATCGAATCACTCTTGACCTTGTACAAGCGTCACAACATGAGACTGTTGCATCAGTTCTTGGACAACCTACTCGAAGTTTTTGTTGGTGAGCCTTTTTGCATTACTGGTGTGCAGCATGTCCGGTGACAAGCACAACATTCTCTTTGCTGCTGTAAGGTAGATAAGTGTACAAGTTGGAATCGATGGACTCTCAAAATACCAGTGTAAAAACGATGAAACACACACAGTACTTCTGTCTCTTTGTGTTCCCCTTAATGAGCTAATGTGTCCTGCTAATTTGTGGTCTGTTGGAAGAAGCAGCCATGTCGGAATGGGGGCCTCTGCTTTGACACACACTTCTGCTTTGACACACACTTTAGCCCATTGTGCAGCTTCCCCATTGAATGCCGGGGGATTATGCATTTAATGAGGAAACAGTTCTTGAAAACTGAATAGCTTTCCAAAAAGTATTTGATTTGGTGCTTTCTAGCTTTAGGCTTTGTTACATTTTATGGTTTTATGCAATGAGTGCATTCAGTATTGTTTTCTTGATTGATTTAGCGAATCTTTTTGTGGCTTTTGCTTTATAGATAGTTGCACAACTGAGACATTTTTCGACATAAAAAAATTTGCTTGCAGTTCTTAGGGATGCAACTCTTGCATCATCAACGCCAGAACTGCAATTCTAAGAACTGCATAAGGGGCAGACTGGTCTTTGGAACAAAAGAACAGTGACAAAAAATTCATTTTTTAAATTTGACATATTTCGTTTCTGCCGGCATTTTTCTTTCTCTCCGCAAATTTTCACACACCAGGAAGTGGTAATTTTTTTGTAATGCCATTCCAACTGTCCAGATTCTTGGTGCTGTTAACATGCAGAACCTGCGAAAAAATGGGGAACCGATTTCGAGTCTTCTTTATAATTTTCCGGCACCTGTGTTAGAAGCTCTGCTACGAATTTATGAGCACCTTTATGAGGATTGAAAAACATGCACGCCATGATTGTTGCTTTTTGAAAAAGTGTGTTTTCAGTTTTTTCCATTTTTTCAAAAAAGTAAATTTACAACAGCTCAATTTAGAGACCTCAATATCTCTGCAGCTAGGGATGGTACAACAATAATTGTTTTTGCAGTGGAAACCTGTATATGTGTAGAATGCAAGTGTGGGAGCATAATTTAGAGCCCAAGCCTTTTTAATTAATTATTCATCAAAAAATGTAACACAATTCTAACTGCTTTTGAAAATGGATAGTTCATCTTGCTGTAAAATAACCAAGAAAGACCTAAAAACAAAAAAAAATTCATACTTTCAATCTATAATCATTAGTCTATATTGGAATATCTTAAATATGACTTTTAATTGAGCACTTTTTTCTATGGCAGCCTTAAACAATAGGGGGTGAACTTAAGTTATCTCAGGAACAAGATGAGTTACAGGAAAACTAATATATATATTTGAATTCAGCAGAAAAAAAAACTGCATAATCCTGTGCACTTTGATCAAGACCACTGAATAAATAAACAAAAAATGTCTAAGACCATTCTGCCCACTTAAGGGTTGCATCTGTAGTACTTGTCCAAAATAACAGTGGAGTTTGAGCATACTTTCCAGCAGCAATTATTGCTTCGCTTAGTGTTTATGTGCGTGTGTCTGTATGCTTGTACTTTCCTTTTTCTTTACCTTCACACAGATGTATACCAATTCTGTGTTCTGAATAGTGGCACTGAAATGGCCACTTGTCACTTTGGTGTCACCCTTTCATTTGCTGGCCATCAAAATGTGAAGAAGTCGAAGGCTGAACAAGGGGGCATCCATATATCTCTACCTGATGGCGGACGTGCTTTGCTCCTTTCACTCATGTGAGTATGGCATCACCACATGACAGTGGGCATGGCTGGGCTCAACCTTGCTCACCCAGATACTGTAATGCACTTTGACATCATGACGACATTAAGAAAAATCGTGAACTTTTACTTAAAGGAGGCTGTGGAAATGATAGCAATCTAAATTGAGACATTACGCAGAGTGAGGTTCCTATTTTTATGCACAAAATGACATGTGCTCAAGGTGGTCGTCCTATGGACATTAGGACGGCTAGCGGACAGAACCAAGCTTGCCTTGTCCTAATGTTAGTCTTTCGGATTGCCATCCTTTACGATATCACTTTGCCTCACTCATAGAGTAAGATAAAAGAAGAGTTCCAACTCTGCCGCCACCCCACGCTTTCGCGTGGGACAAACTGTGCAATGTGTACGCAGCGGCCCAAGTCATTCCTTTGCTTTCCTCCGTTCCTCCTCTTCCTGCTTTCGCACATGCTTTTTCCTCTCGGAGCGTATCACAATGCGTAGCGCCATTTGTCGAGATGCATAGAAACTCAACACCTGGGCTCATGAGCTCGTGTGGGAACTGGTGGAGGAAGGCGTAGGTGGGGGGGCGTGTGCAAAGTGTGTCATCTGCTAGAAACCCGTTTGCTCGGCCGTCTTCATATGACAAAAGCCACACCTATATGTACTGTCTGTTTGCAGGACGTTGGATACACAACAAATGCAAATTGATGCTAGAGGGAGAAAAACAGGTTTATTTACAGAAAGGCAGAGAGGTCGGCCTGAGTGATAGCCTGCTACTCCTCACTGGGGGAGTGGAAAAGGGAAAAGAAAGAGTAATAGATGAGGATAGTGAGATAGAGAGGTGAGTACATTGTTACGGAAGGGCACACAGAAAAACGAGGTGACAGTTGAGATATATTTGCACGACGCCAAGTCTAAGCCGGGATGGCTAGTGAGAGCGCATCCACATCCCAGAATGACGTCGTCTTTCTCGCTGTCAGTCTTGCTTCTTCAGCATGATGTAATCTTGTAACATGACCCCCGGGTGCAGAAGCACCATCTCGGTGCTTTCTATGGTGTTTCGGAGTGGTAGAGCTTAAGGCGGTAGACATAAACAATGTCTGTAGACAGTGGAGCAGAGGGAGATGACTACTTCAGCGAGGCTATCTCGTAGGTAACGTCGGTCACCTGGCGCAAGACGCGGTACGGTCCTGAGGACCAGGAAAGCAGTTTCTGAGAGAGACCAACATGCCGATTCGAGGTCCACAACACAAGAGTACTAGGGGCAAAGTAAACGTTGCGATGATTTGCATCGTAACGTTGCTTCTATTGCTCTTGCGATGCTAAGAGGCACTTCCGAGTGACTTCTCGTGCTTTGTGAGCTCTGGTGATAGTGTCACGGGCTTATTCAGTCGGCGAATCAACAGCTGTCAAAAAAATGGTGTCGAAAGGTAGAGTTGGGTCGCCGCCAAATGAGAACTAGAATGCGAAAACCCTGTGGTATCCTGGCGTGAGGAGTCGTATGCAAATGTAACAAAGGACAATGCAACAATCGTTCAGTAAGCCTATTAGTTTGTGGATGGTCGGCCGTCGTAAATTTATGTTTCGTTTCGCAAGAGCGAAACAGGTCGTCAATAACTCGGGAGAGAAAGTAGTGTCCAGGATCTGTGAGGAGTTGGCATGAAACACCATGATGGAGGATGATGTTGTACTGAAGGAAATCGGCAACTTCTGTAGCACAGCTGGTTGGCAAAGCCCGCGTGATGGCGTACCGAGTTGTATGATTCATAGCAACAGCTATCCATTTGTTTCCGGAGGTAAACATAGGGAAAGGGCCTAGGAAGTCAAGACCAACTCGAAAGAAGGGGTCAATATGAAAGTGGCTGGAGGAGTCCGGCAGGACTTATTGGGTTTTTTTCGACGTTGGCACTGGTCGCTTGCGACGACGTTGCGGCGAACGAAGCGATAAAGCCTTGGCCAGTAAAATCGATGCTGAATGTGGTCGTAAGTCCGAGAGAGACCAAGGTTACCGGTGGGGGGGGGGGGGGGGGGCGTCGTCATGGAGCTGGGCGATAACACTCGAACGTAGGTGGAAAAGTACCACAAGGAGCAGTTCGCGCCCATTTGTGTTGACATTGTAACGGTATAAGGTGCCTTCTTCAAGCACAAACAGTTGAGTAGAAGGATGGGGCATCGGAGAGTTCAGCTTCTCAATAATGTCACGCAAGACAGGATCTCGGCGCTGTTCATCGTGGATGCTGCTCAAAGCAGAGAGAGAGAGCACACATAGAAGCACTTCATCGAAGGTCTTAGGGGGGTCCACTGGATGGCGGGACAAGCAAGCAGGGTTATTGTGTAAACGGCCAGATTTGTAAGACACTGGGTAGTCATATTCTTGAAGCCGTTGTGCCCAGGGACCAAGACGCCCAGTGGGATGCTTTAACGCCGAGAGCCAGCAGAGGGCGTGGTGATCAGTTGTGACAGTGAAACGGCGACCATGTAAGTAGGGCCGAAATTAGCCAACCGCCCAGACTAGAGTAAGGCATTCCCGTTCGGTGATCAAGTAGTTACGCTCGGCCGCAGAGAGCAGACGGCTGGCATATGCGATTATGTGGGCGCAGCCGCTTTGATGCTGGACCAAAAAAGCACCGATACCGTGGCCGCTGACATGGGTGTAAACTTCTGTTGGGGCAGACATGTTGAAATGGGCCAGAATAGGTGGTGTTGTGAGCAACGCGATGAGATTAGAGAACGCCGAAGCCTGCGCAGCGCCCCAAGAGAATGGAACATCCTTCTTCAGCAAGTTCGTAATAGGTTGGGCCACGTCTCCAAAATAGTTTACAAAATGTCGGAAGTAGAAACATAGACCTAAAAAGCTGCGGACTTCCTTAGTGCTAGTCGGGATGGGGAAGTTTTGCACAGCTCAAACTTTATCAGGATCAGGGCGTATGCCGGGGGAGCCAACAAGATGGCCCAACATGATTATTAGCTGGCATCCGAAGTGGCACTTTGATGAGTTCAGTTGCAGTCCTGCGTTATGAAAAACAGAAAGGATGAAGGAAAGGCGGTCGAGGTGTGTTTCAAAGGTTGGGGAAAATACAATGACGTCGTCAAGGTAACATAGACAAATTGACTACTTGAACCCGTGCAAAAGAGTGTCCATCATTCGTTTCAAAGTGGCTGGAGCATTGCATAATCCAAACGGCAGGACCTTAAACTGGTAAAGACTATCAGGGGTCACAAAAGCAGTCTTCTCGCGGTCTATGTCGTCGACACCAATTTACCAGTACCCTGATCGAAGGTCGATGGAGGAAAAATACTTAGCGCCATGAAAGCAATCCAGGGCATTGTCAATGCGCGGTAGCAGGTAGACGTCTTCTTTAGTGATCCGGTTCAGATAACGGTAGTCGACACAGAATCGCCAACTGTTGTTCTCTTTCTTTAGAAGAACAACAGGGGAAGCCCATGGACTAGAAGATGACACAACTATGTCTTTGGCGAGCATCCTGTCGACTTCCTTTTGAATGATCTGACGCTCCGCAGGAGAAACCCGGTACGGCCATCGATGTACCGGAGATGCATCGCTGGTGTTAATGCGGTGCTTCACAATGGTGGCTTGACCTAGCAGACGGTTACAGAAGTCGAATACGTCCAAGTACAATTCCAGGACGTAACAGAGCGCGTTAGTTTGATATGGCAAAAGGGTTCACCGCGATCATTTTTTCCACATTAGAAGATGAGCTCTCTGTCGAATAACAGACTTGCGTGCAGTTGGGGCGACGCACGTCATTGGGGTACAAAGCTGAGATGACACAATCCTCAGAGGGTGTCAGCGTGGCGAGGGCTATTCCACACGGAAGCACTTGCGAATACAGAACAAAGTTCAGCAAAGGGATGCAAGCACGGTTTTCCCGTAATGGAATAATAGTGTGCAGAAAAGTAACACTGTGAGTCAGAAGGACGTATGTAATGGGCGTGAGCACGTAGTCTCCATCAGGTACAGGTGACAACGCTGTTACGGCAATGCAGGTAACTGTTTGCGGTGACAAACGGACATGTTCAGTATGGCAGAGACGAACTTGGGGCGGACAGGGCGTATCAGTCGTACAGGGCAGGTCAAGTTGCACTGTGCCAGTCAAACAGTCAATGAGGGCCGAATGGGCGGACAAAAAGTCTATACCGAAGATAACATCATTGGTGCATTTGGAAGAACATTGAAGAGGACGGAGATTTGATGGCCGGCTATAGTAACGTGTGCTGTGCAGACACCAACGACGGCAGCTGCACTGCCGTCAGCAACACAAACACAGCATGAACGGGCTGGAGTCAACACTTTCTTTAAGCGATCACAAATGTGCGAGCTTATAACAGAAATTTGGGCGCCAGTGTCGACTAAAGCTTTTTTTTTAACAGATAAACTATCCACTTTTACATCAATCAAGTTCTGGTTGGTTGGGAGGGTCAACAGAGGAATTGTAGGGCAAGTCGTAGCAGCAGCAGCGTCACCTCCAGGAGCTGCACCAGTTAGTTTCCTGAAGGAAACCATCGGGCAAAGGATGGGGATGGGGAACGGGCTGGCAGAGGAGACCGCGAGAATCTACGTCGTGGTGAAGGTGAGCGGCTGTACTGGGCATTGGTCGTGGCGGTCATGTCGTAATGAGCTGAGTCATCACGGCTTGGTGGTTCTTGGCCATAAGGGCGGGCTGATGCGTCGAAGTTTGTGAAGTTTGGGCTTGTGCGTGAGGGCGAGGTCCACGTGCTTCCGCAGTGACGGGAATTGTGTCCCACTCGTTCGCAACGAAAGCAAATTGGCCTGTCAGGCGTCCTCCATGCATTTGGATCTCGGTTACGTGGAGCAGTACGGCGGTAGTGCTGACGGGTGTTCAAGGTAGGCAGATGGACACCGGGTCAGTGCACAGAACAAATCGTCTGAAGGCCCGCATTTGCCAATTCTTGGCGCACAATGCCCTGTATGAGGAATATGGTGTACTGAGGATCGTTCGGCGTTAGGACCCTCAAGGGTGCTGGTGACA